GGTATATTCCTTGTCTTTCTTTTTTGGATAGACATTTGTATGTAACCCGAAATAAACCATCATGCACTATTTTCAGATCGCGCTAATATGTAGGAGATTAAAACTCGCATGGCTGCATGGGTTGTTTTGTGGTATTGCTGATCGGCAAATATAGCGTTCCGGTATTAGTCAAAAATATGTAAACAAAGCTGTTATCATACAGATCGTAACATGTGAGATAGTCATTTATTTATTCTGATACCGGTACTCAATGCACACGCATACAGATGCAAACTGGAAGTGTCTTTTCATAAGCAAGGCTTCACTTATAGTCTGTATAATATTGTAGGAATGAATCAATCAATCATTTATTTTGAATATTAGAATACATATTCCAATGCTAACTTTGTAATAATATTGTTAGGAGAATAGTTCATAGTTATAGAATATTAATAGTTAAATTACATTTTGTGTTAGATTACCTGATACAGTTGCCTACTTCAGGATAATATTTTCATTTTGCCAGAACCGTCGAATGTTTCTAGTCTAAATAATAATTAACTGATTGATGCATCAAAAATGATGCTGTCAGCCTTGGCTCTTTACTTTATTTATCATTCTTTGTAAAACCATACAAAGTAACTTTATTAGAACTCTTAATAATAATCTTTTTTGTCAAATTAGGCTGTTAGTCCATTCTTCGAAAACAAATAACTAACTAATCCCATACTTTATATGGAATGGTAACCGGACGAGAGGCCGTGGTTTGCCATATGGTTAAGCCATTCTATCGTCTTTCTTATCTCCCAGGATAAATATGTAAATCCTGAATGAGGTAGCCTGATTCTATGGTATTCAATGCTTTGTATTCTCTCCGAATATTTATAAATCTTTGCAAAGTTTGCAAAGGTCTAATGTATGTTATATTCAAGTCATTTAATTTTCTCTTAGATCTGTGGATAGCAAAGTCTTTTTGTCTTGGATTGAGTTTTTATGTTGGATTGTGGAAGTAACAAATTTTTTTAATATTTAATCTACAATATGGGTTTTTATCGCTTTCTAGAAATTTCTATTTTGTGTGTTTCAAAAATAAACTACAATTACGTAATTATATAACTTCAGAATATTCAACTTCTATTCAACAGATTTTGCGTGTTTAGTTCAGGTTCTGTCCCTACCTTGCAGGTATTCAGATTTCTTTGAAAATACCGTTTGGGTTTTATCGTACAAAATATTACTAGATCCAATGTTACTAGTATAGTGGTTCTCAGACAGTGGGGCGTAGACAATTTTTTGAGGGGGCGTGAAGCTAATTAAAAATATTTATTAGACTTAATCCTGTCCAGATATTCACATTTTTTATTTTGGATATTTACATGCCATCCACGTATTTTCAACATGTTTTTTGAATAAAACATACTTTCACCTTACTGTCTGTTAATTGTAGCTTATTGTTGGCTAGTTATTTTTGAGGCGTGCTTTTGACTTGACAAATTCTAAAAAGAGAATACGGCCTGAAAAGATTTAGAAACCCTGATATAGTATATTGCAGTATGATTAGTTCATTGAGTGTATGTTTTGTTTTTTATGACTTCTCCGTTTGTGGTTGAGCAATCATGTGCTCTCTGGTTTGATATACTTTCATTAACTATTCAAAGTGATTTACTACTGGGAATTATTGAAACCCTAGAGAGAGAAATAATCCAATTTGTTAATTTTGAGACCACAAAAAAATAAAAAATAAGCAAGCGTGTTGGTGAATAATTGGCAGTAATGATATGGTCATTGGTGACATTTGGGCCCAATACCGCCCAATACAACTGTAAAATAATTTAAAAGATTCCTGGGGATTAAATTGCAAAGAAGACTTGCATGGTCCATTGGTGAACTACCATATACACCTACAAATTTTTTATTTGGTTTTTTTTATGCCTTACGCTTCGAACAAGTCATATTACTGTTATACCTCACTTTATTGTTTGGCCGACTGAATTGCAATCCTGGATATGATGATATTTGGCTTAGAATATTTCTGTAAAGTGCGACTATTCTGATTTTGTTTTCACCTTACGTATACCTACACGTATACATACGTACGCCTATATCTGTAAAGTGCGACTATTCTGATTTTGTTTTCACCTTACGTAATAAATCACTAATATTTGTGTATATATGCAATATAGTATACAAAAACTGCAAGATCTTCGTATATTTTTGTAATAACTTATCAGCAATTGTGTTGAAATGGAAAATTCAGTCTCAATTTTAAAAATGTGTATCAGAACATTCATTCATAAATTATTCATCCCAAACAATTCCTGATACTTGTTGGTCTGGTTTAAAATTCAAATTTTATATATTCTATGGTTTGGTGATTTTTAAGAAAAGCATTGTACAATCACTATTTTTGTTTAATTATGTTTAATTATTTGCTCCTAATGACCATAAATGTCCGCTTCATTTTGTTATTCTTGCCATTTGGGTAAAGTTTATTGCCATCTTAACCCAGAACATACTATGGATCGCACTTTGAATGCTTTCTATAATAAGTTGCATATTTGAACCCAGATCATATAATTTTTCTAATGTATTGCAACTCAAAACATATCGTCATCTCTAATAGTTCTATTTCAGATCAGTGGCCACACATAAGTCTGCATCCATTTCAAGGGATCCCCATTGGCAAATTGAGAACACAAATGCTTTTATTTTGGTCTCTAAACTTGTTAACTGCCTTTCTAATTGAATCCTGATCAACCATTTGAAATCCCATTCCCTTGGGAGGAAACATCACATTAAGTAGATTTAATTTATTCAAAGGCGTGTAATCTTCATTCCCGTGAGTATAGAAAGGCATTTGATAGTCTTGATGTCTCACACTGATATTTATTGAGGTGTGAGAAGCTTTTTTTAGGGAAGACGGTTTCTTTTCGGTTCAGCATTGCGTAAAAGCATATGGAAATCATTCCAACAGAATTTCATCGCAATAAATAGGGCGAGGGTTCCAGCAACCAACACAATCAGGCCTTTAAAAAAATTGATTGTTCGTTACATTTTTGTCGTTTGGTTTTCAAGTCTTTGTATCTTTCTGACACTAAGTAGATAAATATTTTCGTAATATACCGTAAGTTTTATTTATGGAGAAGACTGTAAAATGATGTGAAACAAATAACAAAAGCAGATGAGCTCACAAAACTTGCCCGCCCTCAAATGGAGGTTCCTACAGTTGTTTAGTATACAATTAGAATTTCCACGCTTGACTCCCACCGCTTTAAAATAACCAAGACATGTATCTAATGAAGTGTATTGATTAGTTTTAACTTAGCAATGATATGGGAATTCCCTCGTGTATCAAAAGAAATTGAATTCTTGATTCACATTCAATAATTTATGTCTGGAAAAATAACAATCAAACAATGATTAGGTGATGTAATGATGCCCCTCACACTTTGATTAACTGAAGAAAAAGTTTTTTTTATACAATTGAATACCCTGGTAAGAAAATGTCCTTATTGAGGATTTAGGCAAATTCGTGGCTCGCTGGGTAGTTCAATCTGGCCGGCCTGATGCTCCCATCATCAAACTAAAACCAAATTTTGATGTTTTAGCTAAACTCATGGAATTTGTTGAAATTGTGATTAAATATAGTTTTGTCATGAGGCTTTTTGTTTTTGTGACACTGTAAATATTTTTTTTATAGAATGTGTCTTTTTACGTCACAAATCGCACTTGCGTATAACATTTGGCCCTTCATAATCAGAATTTATTAAAAAACCATATCTCCTCGAGTTGGACAATTCATCTTGTCTGTTTCTTTTGATTGTTTGTTGTTTTTTCATAACATTAAAGCCAAGTTCATCATACTGATATTAAAAATCACTTCAATATATAATTGCAATGCTTCTAAAGTTCTAATTTATAGATATTTTAATTTTGTGATGCGCTGTTGTCATTATATACTATAAATGTGAAGTGGATTATCCAGAGAGAGAAAGCTTAATCCTTATTCTAATGCTGGATATTTCATATTGGCATTAGACTCATACTGTCTTCTATAATACATAAGAATGAACATCTTTCTGTGAAATAGAATAATTTATTTTTCTTTTCATTAGAGGGTTATATATGTGGCCTATATACCTAGAATGGGGATGATAATTATGCTATATCGGTGGTTTTTGTCTGCAGGGGATATGTCAGCTAGGGATGCTTAATTCAGAATAATGATAAATATTGCCATGCTGGTCTCTAGAGGTCATTCAGTGCTTTAGTATAGCAGAGATGACATTATGTCTAATTTCATATTCTGTTATTATATTTTGAACTGTTTATATTATTAGGTATCGCTTGTGTTCAATAAAACATTAATTTACGCCATTATTAAACACCTAGAATGGCAATGATAATTTTGCTCTATTATTGGGTTTTGTTTGCGGGAGAAATATCAGCTTGGGGTGCTCAATTGAGAATAATCTGATATTTTGGAACACTCAAGTTGGGTCTAGATTATGAAATCCCATTCTTACATTAAATCAGAATTATAGTTCATTTAGGGCTAAGCCATTTTTTACCAAATTTATTTTTTAGTAGTGTTGATGACAAACTGAATACTCATGTCGAGTCCAATTTGATTTTTAATGGCAGTGGTATAACGAGATGTTGGACATCAATTTTTACCTGTGTGAAACTATCGGATTAAGATTTATTGTCTTATGGAAAAAAATCTGAGTGTTGACAAGAGCCCCACTAAATAAATTGTCGGGCTGGGTTGTGGCCCGTGGGCCGCCTGTTGCACACCCCTGTTCTAAGAAACCCAAGAGTCCCGCTGACATAAATATATTTCTGTAGTCGCCCGATGGCTGATGTCAGATTTTTTTAGACAAACACATTTCAACTGAACTGTCAGTGTCAACCCCAACTGATATCTATAATGAATAACATTTACTTTGAATTTGTTGGAGCTAAATAATTTAGACATCCTCTGCATTTTATTCACAATTTCATCTTTTTAATTTTTCAGCTTTTCAGTCGACTTTTCAGGCCTAAAATGTTAATATTTTGACAATCATACACCGACTCGTTAGAGGATTATCTACTCGTTGAATAACTTCAATCATGGCCGGAGCGGATGGCTTAAGAAACCTCGAATTAGAACCTTTAGAAGTCCCGGACAGATTTGTAAAGAAAGGCAGCAAATTCATAAAATGGCCGAAGTCAGATGGAGATGTAAGTAGTCCGCTTTTATTCATTTTTAGTATTCAGGAATTTTCAGAATTTATAAAATTCAGGAAGTTTACCCTAACAGAGATATAGTACTAATTTGAGCCTAGCTTGAGGTAGATTTCACTTTATAACTGATATGGGCGAACTACGGCCCACGGGCGAAATCATGCTCGTTGGATACTTCAAGTTTGGCCCACCTAATGCTGCCACAATTGAACTAAAACCAAATTTTGATGTTTTAGGGGAAAAAATAGCTCAAGGAATTTGTTGATAATGCGATTATGCGATATTAGTTTTGGCATTCAGTTTTAGATTGGTTGTGGCAGCCTCAGGTGGGCCAGATTGAATTATCCAACTCGCCAGATTGATCCCACAAACCGTAGTTTGCGCATGTCAGGTATATAATTTGGTTTTGTACCAATAACAGAATTGATAAATGCATGTTTATCGGATATTCCTGTTCCAAATATACCTGTACAACATAGGCTATGTTGATTATAGCATGGATGACTCACTCTGTTTCATGGCATTATGATCGGATTCTCATTCCATATTGCAATGACATAGCTTCCTCCTAATTAAAGCAGTCGAAAATGTTGTGGAATAACCAGGCGTTTTATGTTAGATGCCAATTTTAGGGTTTTCGGAACGATTATTTTTACGATTACAAATTTTTTTTTTTATTGGATACCTAATGTAATGTGGGCCATTTTGCGAATTATCCTTGTGTGAATTTTTTTTTTTTCTGGCTAATTGATTTGATGTTTGCAGCAATTAAAGATAGATGAAGCCATTACAATGCTATTATTTTATTATGTTTTAAATTATTTCCAAGTCCTAACGGCCCAATAATTTACCCAAAAGTTGCTGTTTTATTTTAATCCATAGGAACACTAATATATGGCATATGGGAACACTATTATATAACCTTTGACTTTTATGTCCATATCATTTATTCTAAACAAATTATTCTTATAAGCTTAAATTTTTAAAATCATGAATGTAATTAATCTCAATACAATTCTAGTGGTTGGCAATCTTTTTTGATAATTTATTGTCCTTTCATTCCTCTCTCACTACTTATATAACTTTACAACTGTTTGTCATTCATAAATCAGTGATACATGCGCTCTGACCATTACAGTTCGAAATTTGAATAATGTATATTAGCCTAGCACAGGGTGGTCTAAACCCAGGCCCGCCGCTTCATTATCTGTGGCCCGCGTCACATTCAAAGAGTAATCAAAAAATCGCATTTCGTGTAGTTTCGTCATAAAATTCATCAGAAAATTTTTTGACATATTGTCATCACTTATGTGACTGAATTAAATAGTGTTTTGGCTAGCTGAGGCAACTAGCAAAGTTAAATAATGTGCTTGTGAGTCTAAATTGTTATCTGGTTTTCTAACTTTTTGGTCGGGAATATATGCTAACAATATAGGCATCAGAGAAAACTAAAAATCGAATGCGGCTTCTATTAGCCTAGAATGGCTATGCCTGATACCTATATGTTTGCACAATAAAAGTGTTTGTTTTGTATTGCACTGTTTACCTATTCTTGACTTTATTGGGACCCGCGAACAATGCAAAAATAATTCTGTGGCCCGCGGAGCCGAACACCTTGGACCACCCTGGCCTAGCATATAAGCTCATCGCTTAAAAATGACCCTAAAACGGTAGGCATATAAAAATTCGCATATAAGCTGACCCTACAATTGTTTGCTCTATCATGAGAACGTAGCGTGGTACAATTTGTAGTTGTTGGAATTGAGTTAGCATAATGTCATCCCGTTTGAGTGCAATTGAAGGTATGCGCGTATAACCCGACCTGTCATTTAGGCAGCTTTATTGTGAGTTTTAAACTCGGCTAATATATGCGAGGATATGCGGTAGTTCCCAATGCATGCATAAATTTGTTTTACATGAGTCAAACATTTCCTTCTCCCAGAACAATAAAATTTAGGATTTCCTCCCTATTTGGTGGGAAAGGCTGGCATATTTGATTTGCTTTGCACATACCTGGTGGCCCTTGCAACTTGCAATTAAGCAATCATTGCAATTAAAATCCCCCCTGAGTAAGAATTATTTCTGTGGTTTGAAAAAGCTTAATTAATACATCCCTGGTGGTCATCATGACTGTCTGTTACCGTTTCATAATCTAGAAATCTCTAACCCGCGACACCGGACACTAAATGCATATTTTGACTTTTCTTCCCAAAATATTTACAGATAGTGTCAGAATAAGATGCTGAAATAGACCTCGGTATCAATAATTTATTTTGAAAATATTTATCGCCATATTTCTAAGTTAAAAAGATCTGGGTTATTATCGGACCATTTTAGTCATACAGAAGTGTCATCTGTGACAGTTGGCCAAAATGTATTGAAATTTGAATAGATCATTGTAAATGTACTGTGCAGGGGGTCCATGAAGTCCTGCTTTAAATTAGCTGAATAATAGTGATTTATATTGCTCACTAATGGTGAGTGAATTAAGTAAAGTAGAAAGATTAGATAAACACTGATTAAAATAAAACAAAACGAATATACAACTTACCTTATGATAAAAATATTACAGGACTTGATATGAAAATCCGGTATAATTTGAATATGTAATCGACAATATCCCATACAGTGAGATCCTGATTTTAGAAATAATATGGAATAGTTTCATAAATTATTTGTCATTGCCCTTTGTCATTTGGTAGTCATACAAATAACATAATTTACCCAAGTTTAGTAAATATTGAATATTATATATTTAATAAGCTTACACAAGATTACCTAACTATACATCTTCTATGCTTTTGCTGACGCTAATATAAAAATTCTATAGCAAAAATGAAAATGACCTAAAAAGTGCTCATTAATGTAAAATGTATTTGTGTAACATCTTCTGACAAAAGTCAGATATATGAATGGTGGAAGAATAGTGACCTAAGCCGGACAAAATTTAGTGAAATATATACATTTATAATTTATGTTTATGTGCATTGATACTCCGATATTTGCAAAAGTAGCTTATTCTGTTTGGTCAACCAGTGTTAAAAATTCTGACAGGGCATTAAAGTCAAGCCAAAGAATCACTATAGACAACTTTGTCATTTGTGTTTGTTCACTCAATTGTGGCTCGATAGAATCCAATAATACTTTATATAATATGCTTTACCGTTTGAATAATTAATAATGCGTAGTCATGTTATATGCTATCTGTATTCAAATAGTTTGAATTAGAGAATTTCTCAATGTTCATAATTCATGTTCTGAATTTAAATACTCTGAATATAACCAATGGGCCAGGGGTCCCTAATCGGGGGTCAATTTATTCCGCAGAGCAGGAGAAATTCTGGAGCGGTTTTTTAAACGGGTGCAGGAGTCAGATTGGCTGGATTGGAAGTGCGCCCCAAAAATTAACAAAATCGTTCCACAAATAACCAAAATATGATTGAATATTTTACATACTGTATCTATTATAAATATTTTATTATTTTTTATTTTAAATATTTTGTATAATATGAATCAATAAAATCATTTCACCTTTCTATGTCGTTTACTTTTTTTTATGTAGTGTTCTGTTACAATTGCAAGATTGAGTTTTTTATTACGGCAGCAATTTTTTTCGTGCAATTGAGTCGTGAGTTATTTTTCTGATCATTTGGCGCCACACGAATAAAAAATTTGGGAGCCGCTGCCCTAGAGGCAAATTTGAACTTTATTGAGGGTAAATTTTGCAAGCAAGAGAGTATAGTGACCATAAAACACATTGCAAGAGACTGTCTCGCCTAGCTCCTCTTTTCATATTCAAATTAGACCGCACTGGAAAATAGGAGACAGTACACAAGTAGTGTGCTTGCTTACAGCAAACTTTCATAAATAAGCAACAGCAAAATTGAGATCTAAGTAATATTTTACTTCTCAGAATGTAACTTCATATATTCTAATATAATTGTTTCTAATTTTTTTTCTATTCATATTGTGCAGGACTCGATTGTTGCGACACCAGTGACACTGCGACTCGACCCTAAAGGGTATATCTTATACTGGCAGGAACCAAATCGGGTATGTTTGACTCAAGTTTCTGTTTTACACGATTTGTGTTTTTCATTCTGAACAAGGCAGCCTAAAAGACAATGCGACTATTTTTCTGGAAGGACTGGGATCCTCTTGGTCCAGCGTTGGCCGGCCAACAAATATAAGATTTTAGCGTTTGTAAAATGAATTAGGTATGTAACATAGTGGTCATAAATTAACAACATTGAACAATGAGCAAAATTGAGCGCACCAGAAATATGTGTACCAATATGGAGGTAACTAATTTCGTTCGCCTACTTTACATCAAGTTGTGTAAAGAAACGGAAACCTATGGGCAAAGAGTATGTCTACTTGGCTAACACAGACAGTCTACGAACTCGTAATAGAACTAAAATAAGGAAAATCGGTATGAAATTATGGCCTAACCCTAACCTGCTACGCATACTACGGGAGTACCCAAAGTGTTGTGGTGAAGGAATGATGATGGTACCTACAATATACACGCATACAGTAATAGATGAATGCTAGTTGCAGACATGACTTATTTTTCTTGGATCTTGTAATAGCGCAGATGAATATTTTGGATAATTTTCTGTGGCTTCTATATGCAATACATTGAATATGAACGTAAGGGAAACCACAATGCTATTGGTTCTCATGTGTCAGTTACATCCCGTTGAGGTTTTGTACTGATTGTGACCCATCGATGAAATACGTTTACCTTGGGCAAAGAACCTTATTGAGGCTAAACTAAAAATATGAAAATCTTGTTGACTAGATTGAATTGCAAAATAGTTTTACTAAGGTTCATTGAGATATTTTGTTTGCCAATTTAATATTTTTAACTGTTTGATTTAGGATATACATTTGTCTGTTAAAGATAGATGATATTCACATATTCAGAAACAAAGTCAACAACGCATAAATAAAGTGTTGTCCCTAGCCACAAATTTTCAATAAATGACTGTTTAAGAGTATTCTATGTTGGCATCATTGTGCATATTGGTTACATAATCCCATGTCCACCATCACCCACGGGGTAATTAATTCGGCGGGTAAGGCCAAGCTAAAGAGATTAGGGTCCCCTTTAAAAATACTCATACATCAGTGGTTGCTTCTACATTGCATTGTTCGGCGTAAATGATAATTTATCGTTTGGTCATGTTTTATTTAACAAGTTCTATTTTGTCACAGGACACAGAATGTTTGGAAGTTTCTAGTATAAGAGATACGAGGGTAGAAAGATACGCAAAGATTCCAAAGGTATGTTTTGTTGGTATTAAAAATATATTATCAGAATGTAATATTTAATAAACAATTGTAATTACTATTTTACCAATTCATAAAGCTATGAAAATTTGTTATATAACGCTCATTTATGCATATGAGTAAACAATGAGAATTAGCATAGATATGAAAATGGAACAAAACCGAATTCTTGTGCATTACCATTCATGATCAGGAAATATTAAAGCAATAGTTACCAAGACACAATGTACGCGCTTTGGAAATTCCATTTCTTAATCCTTTTGTTCCCGGGTTTTAAAACAACTAATGCACAATTTCTTAGTATTCTAATACTACCGGTATATCTTTTACTTGTTGGTTAATATGTTAGGAGCTCTCTAGTATTAATTTCCATAAATACAGGGTGTTCATGAAGTCCCTTTACAATGTCATTTTTGTTATGAAGTCAGTTCTCAATATATTTTAACCAGGTTTGTTGTTTTATAATCTGTAATTGTTTAAGTATTTTATTTGATTTTATTTATTTGTAAGAATCAAAACAATATACGGTATCATTAAATTCCCTTCGCAATTTTAATAATTTCAAGACTTTATGGACACCCTATATAAGATGAACCAGTTTTGAAATGCATCATACTCTGTCTTTTGCCCAGTCAATTGTGCGATTGAAAATATATTTTTTAGTGTAACCAGTAACCTTTATAAATTCGGGCCTCAGTTTATTAATCTTGATTTTTTTTTCGAGAATCAAACACTTGGTGTGGGCTTAACTTGTGTGGATTTATGTTAAAATTTCTGAATATTTTTGTTTTGTTGTTGAGATTTTGTGTGAGCTATCAAACAGAAGCTTTACTCTGATACAATTAATTTTCTTTCATGAAATTACTGTTAAAAATAATTATGTAAATTTATGGTGTCAGGCAGGTTAATCAGAAAGGAGTTATTGAAGACAGAAAAGCTGGTCAGATTCGAGTCATAAAGCATCTGCAGGAAAGAATGAGATGAAGCTTACAGAAAAAAAGCATTTGATTAAACATTAGATAGTTAGAATTAGTTGTTGAAATTTTTTCCAAGCTTCTCAAATCCGCAGAATAATTTAGAGCCTGATGGTTGCCACCGTACCTCTGATTACCCAATGTGAGGTAATAATGTGTGGGAGGGGAGGGTTGGTTCACAAAAGCTCTGGTCGACGCATCTTAAATAAATAACTATTTTTAAATTTGCCTTACACTGGTGAGCAGAAAATAGACTGTGGTTTGCCTTGGACTGTCTTATTGTTATCCATATTTCTCTTTCTCTGAATGAATATTTAAATACAATCCTATCATGTGCCATGTAAGCAATCAAATTTCTATGTCGAAACATGATTAAAATTGCTTTACTTTTAAGTAATTTCTATTTGCGATATTTCAGGATTACATTAATTTAAAATAAATAGAATTTGGTTTGTTGATTGTAATAATATGCTTGTTCTATGTTGCTTTCATTTGTTGACTTTTATATTATGGAACGAGCCACAGGAAAAGCATAGTTTTATAAAGGGGAATGTGTTGCGAGTCTTTAGGAGGGAGCCACAGGCCTTAAAAGTTTGAGAATCACCACCCTACACTGGTATTCTAATATCAGTAAAGTCAAGTTATTTGGGTTTCTAATTAGCACTGAGAAAGATAGCAAAAAAGTAAATATTGCTGTATAGTATGGAACCTGATAGTGCCGGTTTTTATATATCCAGATGGAATAAAAAAGTTTCTGCTCATTAATACTGAGTTATATATATATTCTTAAAAGGCTGTCAATTTGGAGATGAATGAAACATTTGTATAAACTTGCATGTGTTTACCATATGACATGAAAGTTGGATGCAAAAATAATATGATAAGGCTAAGACTGATAAAACTGTTTTTACATCACCATCAATCAGTGATCTGAATAAAAATTCTTTGCTTGCAATTACGAGTCAAGCGTGAAAATTACAGTGAATGGAGATTGGGTGATGCACTGTGCTGTAATAATTGATTTAATCGTGAAGCAATACACAGTTAGACCAATAAAATTGTTATGTAACAGTAGACATGCATTTCATTGCCTGGGGCAATCTATAAATCAAAACTCACAGTCAAATAGCAGGCATTGCTTCTTTAGAAATATTCTAAAAATAGTTCACAAGCTATGTAATAGTATGTTTCAGTTCTCACAATAATAACTTATAATACTTCATTTGAAGTTATTTCAAAAATATTGAGTTACTGAATATGTCACAAAATCGAAAAATTCATTCTCACATCTCTCTCAAATTTCATTGTCTTTCTAAAATATTACATCACTAGACATTTATATGAGGTATAGTCAACCGCAGTAGCGGTTAAAGTTTGTCACTTTCAATCAAAATAAATATATTTTTTCATAAAATTATTAATGAAAATAATGTTATTGGTAAAAAGTTAGTCTGATTAAATAATTATGATTCATCAGACAAACCTTTACTTTACACAAGTCTCTACTGATATAAAAAAAAAAAAAAATGTTAATCAGTGCTTATCAAAAGCAGCTCCAGAAGTATGTGTACCAATATGGAGGTTACTAATTTTGCCCGTCTATTTAACATCAAGTTGTGTACAGGGGCTGAAACCTATGGGCTATTGGGCAGGGGGTATAATATTCATTTGGCTAACACAGACAGTCCTCAAACTCGTAATAGAACTATAATAACCATAATTGCACCAGCATAATTCTTAACACCTGTAGTCCTGTAGCTACGCTTTGAACGAATTTCTCCAAAAAAGAGGAATATTTAGGCATTTTGTTGTGTGTGGGGTAAGCCAAAATATCCAATATAACAACTACCTTACATTTCCTCTTGCACACAATTATTTAATTCATATCTGTAGTTTAACATGTTGCCATGTTTGTTTGTTGTTTTCCATCAATAAATTGTGCTAAGCCGGGATATCAGATTAAACTTTGTAATCACTTGGGGATTATCTTGGAGTGTCAGGATATACATTAATAATGCATTTGAAAGAGGATAGGACTGTCTTACTACAAAGCAGGAAAAGAAATCGACTTATCCTTTATTATGTTGAAGGACATGTACTGTCACTATTTCCCTTTAATATGATTTTGCAAAAACAACAACACAATGATATTCCTATCTAAAGTTGGATGGGCAATACCTTCCTGAAAAAAAATCCAGTTCTTGCCTGCCGACAGCCTTCAGATTGAAAAGGTTCATAACATCTAATAAAAAGTTTATAAAAAGCTTTTTGCAATATGTATTTGCACAAATATTGAATGTTTTGGTGATAAAAAAGATTGATTTATCAACTGTTTATTCTGGAGATCAGTGCAACAAAATTAATCATTCAAGCACTTTATAACTTACAATCACTATCAAATGTAAAATCTTAATTGTGTGTTCACTTTATATAAACAGTTCTTTTCAATACGATACAAGTTACATTTTTTAAAAGCCAATTCAAAGCAGGATTGTGTTCAATTTCTCCAAAAATTATTGATAACTTGAAAAATAGTTTTGTTTTGAGTCCTATTCATAGCAAAAGCCAACTGTGATTAACTTTAAAAAATAATGTAAAAACTATGCCAGGTCATGAATAGCGCATTTCAGAAACAATTATTCAATCCGTATTGATTACCGACACATGTTGTTCCTAGTATTTGTTGGTCAAAATCCAGGTTAAATGATTAATTTGTCCCAAGTATTAATATTCACTGTAAGAAAAGAAATGTAAAGCAAAATCTATATTGGTGCTTCTGTAGCAAAATTGTTACAAAAGTATTTGAAGTACTTCAGAGGATTTGTAAAATCCTTGCTTGGAAAAATCTATAATCCAAAACAAACACCAGACAAGAATTGTGTTGAAAATGAACCTTAGATGACCTTACTGCATTAGCGTCATCTATAGATGACTCAGACTTGGTGTATATAAAGGCTTTCCTGCACGAGTTGTGGCCTGAACTTCAACTACAGAATTACTGCCTATAATGCGATTTACAATTCTATGAAAAGTGATGTCAGATATTAATATGATCAACCACAAGTTAATGCAATTTATGCAGCTAATTTCTGGTGTAAACCATTAAATTTAACCTCTAAAAAAATTGCAATAATGTCTAAGTATTTATTCACTACACTCAATGACGAGGACGACTCAATTACAGACGAGGCTCTGTACAGACGGCCACTGATTGGTCAGTCGCTCAAGCCACGTTTAATTCAGCTCTAATTATATGTTGATAACATTAACAAACCAATATTTCACAAAATGAATGAACCTGGAAAAATTATCCCTGTCTGTAGCTTTTATGATGAGTGACATTGTTCACAAAAACTCTGTAAAACAAAAGTGAGACAAGCACTGAGAGTTTTATACAGTGTTTTGTTAGCAAAGCTGCTAGTGACCTATTCCGGTAGTCATGACATGAATTCACTTATAATCTGCACCGTGTATACCAGACTGATTGTGAATGTTACATCAATGAACGCATTTCCGTGGACCATAATTGAATAACCCTATTTTTTCCTTTGACATAAATATGACTCTGAGAATATTGAGGGACAATTCGGACTACTGTTGACAAATAATGTCAACTTCTCAGAAAATATTTACCGAACTATTTTTCCTTTGCATTATAGAAATTGTACATAATGAAACGTGGTGTTTGGTGAAAACTGGTTGTCAATAATTCTCATGCCTGATGGACTAAATTTGACTCTAAAGATGAACTCAAAGTTCTTAGTCACTTCCAACCTAAAATCTGGTATTGCGGCTCTAAATCAATTTAGGTAAAAAAAATAATCTATTAACATTCAATAATTAACTTAAATTTTGACTTGTGTCTATTTTATTATCATTCAACACAGTGACATTTTTATACTATTACAATCAAGCTATTACAATCAAAATTTTTCAGACCCAAGTAATACTATCCATATCACATGGGAAGTTTGTGGTATTTTGTGACGTCTGTTGTTCTGCTTGATCAAATTTTTATAAAAGTAGTTTGTTAAATCTTGAAAACCATGTGTATTTTGTCAGTTCATGTTTCATTCCGAAATTAGCTCCTCCTTCACTTTGCAATTTACATCATATCAACACCCTTCTTGCCAAAAGCTAGCTAAATAGAATTTTAAAATTGTGCTATTTGAAAAAAGTGATTTCAAGAATTCAAGTCTAAAATTTTCCCTTTTTCATTATTCTCACAGTGAAATCAAGATGTTTTTGAGTTTAAAAACAAATTTTATGGTTTATTTAGCCCCAAGATAGATCTCCTCATATTGTATATGGGCTACATGTATTTGAACAATGGTAGCCAGAATAATTTTTTGTTACAAAATTATTTAACAATATGGGCATCTCTAGCCATCACATTTTACTTTTCAAATATCAACAGGAGTTCATTACATAGAAAATAGGTCTGGGGTTCCATATTTATGACTTCTATATTTCAATTGAACAGCATTCAACTTTACCTCAAATTTACGTTTAAGAATACAGAATTAGTTTCTAAGCACAGCCAAGTAAAATTTGGCATAAATCACTCTTCAAGCTAAAATGACGAATATAGAAAAAATGCAGTTTGGAGATATTAATTATCTAACTTCTGTCAATACATATTTGGAAATACTTGGAAGTTATTTGTGGTTTTGATAAGAAGTCCTGACCAATGCTTCATGGTCATTATTTAGGGTTTATGATTGATTTGTCTGGGCAACAGTAAAACCCAATAAAAATTGATTGTAAGATAAAAAAGTTTTATGTTAGAAAAAAAATCATAAATAAATAGCCCCCCCGGATATAAATATCATATCCCAATGTCATCATTACTATCATATTTATATCTATCATGTCCCTGGAATGAAAAAAAAAACAGGCAACAATGTGTCATTAGCAGTTGATGTAACTACCCATACTTCTCTATACTTTTACACTTGCGCTTTGGCCCTTGCCAAAACCAAGCTGGGGCATCATGGAAAATTTCTGTAACCTGCATGGTGAGGAAAACTTTGCTTATCGTTCAGATTGACTGTTACATATTTCTATGCTCATGCGTTTGACTGGTTGGGCGGAGAGGGGCCAATTGTGAATAAACAATATATTGCATAATATAGATAAATAGCTTTGTAAAAAAATTAGTTATCCATGTAAAATCTAGTAACACAGATATTGTAGCAGCTGACAACAAGGACTTGAGAATTGTTTTGAGCAAACTTGCAACTCTTTTATCAGTACTATTTTAACTTTTAGTTGAGGGCCTGGGGCCTTGCTTTGAGCAAACATGCAACCCTTTTATCAGTACTCTCCCCACTTTTAGTTGAGGGCTCAGGATCTTGCTTTGAGAAAACTTGCTATCCTATCAGCACTCTATATTCTATATTTAGTTGAGAGATTGTGAATTTTCTTTGAACAAACTTGCATAAAAATGAGATGTAGTTATTAGTCAGATTGAAATAGAATAGTGAAGGAAGATGAGTTTCGGGTATTATCGAAAGGAATAGTGCAATCTGTATAATTTCAAATACTTTACGAATTGTGTTTCGTTGCTGTGTTTTGGTAGTTTTGTTTCTTTATTTCATTTGCAATTTTATGAGTTATTATCTTAATGGGTACTAGTTATCTTTCTAGACTGCATATTACAATTTAAAAAATTTAAAAATAGAACAAAATTGTGAACTGTTGCATTTATTTAATTTATTATGTATTCCTATGAAAAGGTGGCTTTTATTTGGCCTTGAAATGAAAACTAATCATGTTGAAATAAAATTTAACCTTCGTATTCCACAGATCATGAGACGCATAGTCAAAAAATGGTTAGGGGTTTTGTCTATACGTAAGGGTTAGGGGTTTTGTCCATACATAAGACAAGACAAGGTACATAAAGAAGGTTTCTGTTTTAAATTTCTCCCATAAATATTTTCATCATGGTAATTATGCTTTCCTAATTTGCACAAGTCAGAATTGCCAGTTCTGTTCACCATGTTGAGCCATATTGGCTTGCTGTAGTGCAATTTTGGGTTGTCCACTGAACTGACTTTTTAGGATATGATTTTATATTCATGCTAGGGGAGAGAAAAGATGAATCGACGACTTAATTGTAGGATGGGATTTTCATATTAATCCTAGTGGAGAGGTAAACCGATGGCTTGATCACATAAAAATTACAGCCTCTCATTCGCTTTAAGGTCCATGTTGGGTATGAGATTAGTTAACCAGGTTTTTGTTTTTGGAAGCACGGGCCTGACTTTTCTGACTTGTGAAAAATAGGCATACCCTTAATGGAATTATTTTCAGTTTCTGTGTGAATATTATATTTAATTTTCAGGCATAATTTTTCAAATGATAATTGATTTTAATTTTTATTAATTTTATTTCTCATCAGTCCGAAAAATGGGAGAAAGCTTTACAAATTGCGGTAAGAAAAATCAAGCATGATTTAATAACTGCATGTGCATGGTTAGTAAATGATTCACACTTGATTGTATATCATATTGGTGATCATTTATCTTGTGTGTTTGTGTGAATATATGTGAAATAGGTGCCATAGCAAATGGGTGTATAGGGTTGCTATATCTGAAGTGGTGTCTATGTACATGGGAAGTGAAATACTGAAACCTTGAAGTTTAAAGAGATAGTCGAGTCAAATTCACTTTTTTATACCGCTATTTCTGTGAACAAAGCTCGTCACAAGCAGCGACTGCTAGGCAAGTAGCAACTATAGTTTGAAAAGATTGGTCTTTTCTGGTTCCGCTTTTGCTGACCCACTTTCTGATACCATGAGTGAGGTGGTGGGCATGGGGTTTCAATTCATGATTTTAATTTGCGATGCAAGCATACATCAGTCTTCAACTGCTAGGCCATCGTGTCCATAAAGTTTTTTATTTTGTTGTGACTCTAAAGACGGCCTTCATCATGATTTTCCGTAAATAATTTTGCAAAATAGAACTCATAGAATACTACCAGACTATCTCTATGTAACTTCCTAACCTCATTAACTTACGGTATACTTAAAGTAGCACCTTCATTGCATGGTTCCCGTGGAATTCCATGCCATTTTCCATTTCAACATTTATTGTTATTAGGCATAATAAACCAGCCTGCAGCAAAAATAAATGCATCTTTTGCTGTTTTTAATATTCATTGCTCAAAATATTCATAATATACATTTAGTTATATTATAATATTATGTATTCATATTAGTACTCTAAATTTTAGTTAGATTTTCTGATAATACTGCTGCAATGTATGTCAGAATTTGACATAATTTTTCTTTATTTTTGTTTTCATTAATATCATTATAGTTATTTCAACACATAATATATAGTACAGTATTGAACAAACAAATCACAAATTTCACCCCTACGTATGTTTTTTACTTGTATAAATACTTTTGAGCAAGGCAGAAATGCATCATCGAAAATGAGCCCAAATAATAAAATTAGTATCCCAATCATGCCTCCCATAAAAGTTCTTTCAATTTTTTCACAAAGTGGCAAAGTAATAATATTACTTAACAAGCATCGCATGCCACATACTGTGAAACAAAATGGTTAACTTTTATCGAGAGAAGTTACCCCACCTACGCATAATTGGGTTTTCCATTGGATGATAACAATATGAAGGGTTGCTTGTTATTCCCTAACACTTCAAAACAAATTTATCATACAAACAGCACGCAAAATGTTTATTCAGCATATTTAAAGTATAATGAGAGATTTCAAATAAATAATTAAATTCAATAATGGGTTTTATAAGCATGGCTATAAGTTATACTATACCATAATTAACTCATCCCTAATTTCAGCAATAATACACAAAATACCCACTTATACACAATATAAATGTATCGCAAGCCTATATATATTATACCCTGCTATATTTAGAATTGTATAAAGCACGTATTTCGCAATAATTCATCTATTCAACCAAAATGTTTTGCTGTGACTCAACCGCATCATTTAGTTTATTATAAGCACAAATTACAATGAAATTTTTGCTAATCGATGCAGCGTTTTGATTGATCGGGAATATAACAAAGAATGTACAACTTCGCCTACTTTTCATTTTTGAAAATAATTTGTACTTTGCAATTCAGACTTTGTCGTTTTTGCATCTTTAAAACATAAATCTACATGACTACTAATTTTTTGAAAAGATTGTTTCCAGTAATTCAAAGAATCAAAAATTATTTTTTGGTCAGAAAATTTTCTAGATTTGTTCGTTTTGTTTAATTACAATTTACACCCACAAACTTTGGATATGGTCACCATAAACAAACCATTCCTTATATATATCAAAAATCCCAAAATTCCTGAAAATGACTTTCTTTGACATAGCCACATTGACTTCAATTTTTCAAATTCGAATTTAATGGCATTTCAAAATTTTTTTTAAATAACAAATTTCAAATATGTTCCCCCTAAAATCAAGTCATACCTCAGGAATACCATAAAGTATTAACTTCATGACAAGCTATTGAGCAATAAAAGTTATCATTTTCAAACAGTAATGACGAGTTATTTCTTGTGTAATAATGTGTAATGGTCCATGATTATTCCAAAGTTTATGGCTCTTTAAACATCTCAGTATGTGACTAAATGAAACTAGTTGAGATACATGATATACTACATAGTATAATGCAAAGACATTACTTTCGTTTCCGTTTTTAATGTTCCAAACAGAAACACATTTAAGCGCCTTTTGTATAACATTTCAATATAACAAAAAAACAATTATTCTAAACTTTTATGCTGAGATCAGCAGTAAGCAGTACTGTTGTCTATTGTATACATACATACATCTCCATATTGAAATGAATTTTATTTTCAATGAAATCCACACTAATGCTGAGTCCATTTGTTAAATTTTACTTGAATGATTATTTAACATGAATTTTCACCATATAACTTTTTCTAATAGCGTAAACTTGTATTTTGATTAAAACTAATTCAACTTACTAAAATTTTAAATAAGGTCTATTTTGTGTATCTCGCATTATACACCATTTTAATATGTCAAGATTGGAATGGAATACAAAAATAAATTAATATTTTTATAACTTTGAGGGGTCCTCGGTTACTTGATGATCTAACCACAGTAGAGTTCGACCTAAAACAAACCAAATAATTGATTAATCAGAAGGTAATTGCCTATTGATCAATGCATGTTCACTCAACACTCGCCAGCATGCCCAGATGAATATATATGGACATGTCCAATTGTAAATGATATAATGCTGTATCTACAATTCGTTTGAATAATTCATTTAAAGTATTATAAATGGGATATTTAAGAAATATGATATTTTGATTAGTGTAAAATTCTATGTATACATATATTTGACTTTGAAATCAATAAGCTTAATAGGTTTATTTCAAATCAATGACTGATTCCATAACCACATGATGATGGCGGAAGGAATAACATAAATTCATTTAAATGCAATGCTTTATTTTATCACAAGTTGTATTAGTGACTCATGAGTCGTCCATTTGACCATTCCATAAACCAGTGGTTTCCAACATCCTTTAACAAATTCCTTCCTTTTTTAATTTGGAACTCTCTTCCCATGGATAAAACTTTTTTATTTGTTCAATCTTAATTGATCCTTTGCTAGAGTTATGCGCAAGTCGCACTTCATGAATTCGTATTATAAAAATGATAAAAACCAATTGAACATTAGAAATAGTACAGTGAATACAAAGCAAAATCATTCTCCAAAAACAGCAAAATTTTCCCGGTTGAAAATGATTTTCATAAACCATGTTTGAGTATGTCAATTTTCCTTAAATAAAACTATACTTCAAACGCAATATTACTTGTTCTTTAATTCTCAGAAATTTTTTGACAAAGCCTCATAAAAACAATTATATTCAGATTTTACAAATTCCTAAATAAAATGTACCGTAGGTAACTTATTAGAACATAGTAACAGAAATTCGTCGAATTTATGGCTTGTTTTTTCCTGCTTTACCACTACATTTTCACAGTAGCTTTAATCATTATGGACAAAATTCTTTGAATAATCATTTCATTTGATGTTCCATGCCATTTCATGAAGTTAAAAAGCAATGAATGCATTAATATTTGCAATGTCATTATGAATTACACCATCTGAGTAAATCCTGGGTCAAGAGGTTGGCATTCTAATCATGGCAAAGTAGTCTCATTGCCTTCCATGCCAAAGCAATTATATGAATATGCATTTATTATAAGTTTATTTTCAGATAAGCACACATTGTTCCTTATGTGATCAATTTAGCATGAAATGCTGATTAAAGAGCTGTCAGAGTAACCTTAGCAATGTTTCACGCTTTTAGAAAAAGGAAGCGACCCTAATTGATACCAGGAAATGAACATTATTAAAAATAACAGCATGCTCCAGTGCCCTCATCTTACTTAATCAATGGGTTAATTTTGACTGCATGTAAAATTTCACCACAGTGCTTTGTGCTTCGATGAACTGAATGAATGGTGCTTTGAATTTTAAATTTGGAACTGTGAAAATGTGTTTTTAGACCATTAAGCATTTAGAATTTTCATAAGAGAGAGTGGCCATTTAAACTAAGTTTCAAAAAATGTTCATACTAAAAATAATTAATCTTTGCCATTAATCTGCGAAAGCGCCATGTCTATTACTGCCTAACTATCAAAAGTACAACAATGGCTAGATTTGTAATATATATTTTTTTATTGAAAAGCCTAAATCTTTATTTTATTTGGCCTTGACCATGTTTCATTTGCCGCACCTTTTGAATGGCACTATGCTTCAACTTTTGTAATGTTATGATGCTATTGTATGATTTTTTTATTGAGATGTCACTCACAAATACTCACTTGGATTACCATGCTTTTTCTCATCTGGGTTAGAAGTGCACTAATCTCAAAAACAAAACTTTTGAAAATTACAAAAATTCAGTCAAACACTTTCCTATATGATTGATACCACTATAGTCAAATTTATTTGAATGAATTGTTAATGCATGACCTGTAATCCCCAAAACTAATCAAATTAACCTTTGGAAAGCGTAAAATCTCTCATATCAAGTTACAGCTTTATCAATAAATATAAATGCATATTGATAAAATAAAAGCTGCGGTTTGGTTAACAGAAGCTTATAATGGGGAAATAAAAAAAATAAATAATGAATTGCATGATATGTTCACACTCATTGAGGCATTGACGTACGTCAGCAGTGTGCTAATTTTCTGTCAGCGGGCCATATAACAAACTTCAGACATCTAGCTGGTCCACACAAAAAATTTAGCGGGAAATGCATGAAAAGAGAATGTGGCTATCACTTTACAGAATTACAGTAATAAATGTACTGGTCAAAACAACAAGAGATTTAACGCAGTGACAAGAGCATAAGAAATATCATGTATTTTTATCCCTTTGAGCCTTTCACCAAACATAAACTGTCGCATTAGGATTTATGCTTAATGGAAAAAAATGTGAATGTTGACTAGTGCGACACTAAATGGCTTGATGGGCAGGTTTGTGGCCCTCAGGTCGCCTGTTGCACACAAAATAGTATCGAAACTTGACTTAGGTGACACCTCCTCTCACATCATGCTTTATAACCACTTGCTATTCATATTCACAGATTTACAACTATATATACATTTTTCTGTTTGCATCCATGCAACCAGGTATTGCATTAGACTGTTGTTTATTCATAATATCCATGCTGGTATATTATCGTATAATTTCATTATGCCATAATATATGTGATGTTATATTTCAAACGTTATATTCATATATATTAACCTGTCACGTTTGTTTTTTCCGAGTGGAATTTTTTCTGAGCATCTGCATAAAAAGATATACTAACAAAGATAACATATCAACCGTGCTAACAAGTCAAAACTTTTTATTCTCTTTTCTGTTAATCTAATATTAAAGAAATTTCATGCTGATAATAACCTTTACAAAATCAAAAAAAAATTGCCTGTAGTTATAACCCTCTTTTTTGGTATATTTGATAAATCGATCATTACGGTAACCATGTTAAAATATTGAATTAGCTCATTATGTGACCAGGCCTGGGCAAAAAAAAGGGTTCTCTAACTAAGCTTCTTATGTTTCACTCTGAAATACTTTTTCAGAGGTGTTAAGAATATTTCTCACTTCGTGTTATTTTTCAAGACAGTTTTTAACTTTGTTGTTTTCTCTAGGATCCACAAATAAGAGAAATTGCTGGGAATCCTTCAATCCCTCTAGAATCAAAATGTCTCACAATTGTTTACGGAATGAAGTTTCCAGAACCCTGTTTTTTAAATTTTATCGCCGTAGAAGAAAATGCAAATGAAGTTGTGAGGGTGAGATTTTGCTTAATATCATTTTGCATATTTTTATTCAGCGATTATGATATATGGCAGGGCTACTCAACTGGTGGACCGCGGTCCGAATTCAGACTTTTCGGGTATTCGATTCGGACCGAGCCTAATTCTTTATTCAGATCATTAGCCCCTCTTTTGAAGTTTTATGTTATACAATCACTTTTATAGATTTAAATATATATGAAAGGAACTATAACACCATAATAAACAATCTTGATTAGCCAAGGGGGGCACAAAGCAGTTGGATGGGACCACAATGCTAGGTGCAAAACTGATTTTACTTTTCCCTTTACAAGAAATTTTACCATTTTTTCTAGTTCCATTGCTTGATAAGGTTATTTCAGAGGGTGTTTTCATATTATTGACCACGAGTTGTTGGAACAAAATGGGATTTGCAACCAATCATAATAACACTGTAAATACCACTTGAATGATGAACAGGGGGCCCCGATGGTAAACGCCTCAGGAAGAGGGCCACAAGCCATAAAAGGTTAAGAACCACTGATGTACACATTCTGCCACTGAGACTTGAAAGATACCTTAAATATGATAGAAAGCATGACTAACCATCAAATTGTAAATTTGACTTGAAACTCAAAGATAATTATTGAGTTGAGTCTTTGATATAGCAAAAAACTTCTAATAAAATACGATTTAAATGCTACTTGGTGAATTTAATTGACTCTATAAAAGTTCCTAAGTATATTTTTACATGAACATATTCATATTTAATTTTTCTACATTTAATTTGAAAACTTTTTTATTCAGGCTTGGGCAGACTTTCTTCTAAATCTGGCACATCATCCTCTCACTTGGCACATATCTGTAGAGAAGAGTATTGAGAAAATGTAAGTAACATTCGATATGTTCTGAATATTTTTTAGTAAAAAAAAACAAAATTGGTAATTTTTTTCTTTAGTTTTAAATATTTGCATGTTCTACATGTTCTACCTATGTATCACACACAGAACAGGCAAATCTACAATTTGAGTCCCCTCTTGAATTTTATCCTCACTTTGCTTTACTTCAAGTCAAAATATAACCTCAACTTAAAACTTGCCGAACATCAGTTGTTCAGTAGTTTATTTTTTCACATGCGGGAAAGAGTACACTATTATAAATGCAGAATTAAAAAAGATAAAAAAAATGCATTTCGGTGTAAGAGAAAATGGGATAAACGAGCAGCATCACCTGCCTAAACATAAATTAGTATCAAGCATTGCAATATAGAGAATTCACAAAATTAAACGATATTCAGGTAATTTCAAAATACATGTGTTTCTGCTTGTTTCCTGTGGTTTTTTTATAATTGCTTCCGATTATATGTGAAATACTTGTAAGGATTACAAGAACAATAGGTTGTGAACAGGGAGTTATTTAAAAAAACAGGCATTAGATATAATGGGTCATTTATTGACATGCTGAACAGAAAAAAAAATCAGCTCAATCAATTAATGAGGAAATTAAGCTTGTATTTAGCTATATTTGGAAACTTCTATCTACAATTCCATTTTTGTTTTTCAGGCATGCAAAGTTAAAATATGAGACCAATCAATTTGGACAAATTCCTGTGAGAAAGTAAGTTTAGAAAAGGTTGAATTTTTATTATTTTGCAAAGTTGATAAATTATATTATTCAGTATTCACCATATTTTTCAGTGAAGCATGAAAACAGTCAATGCGTCATTGATAACAAAAATGTATGCGCATGGGTTATTTTAAAGCAGAAAGATATCAGTCAATCCAATAGACTCTTATGATTGGTTCTTATTTGTGACTTGTTAAGAGAGAAAGTAAAACATCTCCACTAAAATTATTTTAGTAATATTCCTCATATAAATCCTTGTTGCAAACAAACCCGCATGTTAAAGTTAGAAAGACTTCGAAGTTTACATGTGAATTAATATTTTTTTGGGGATTTTTTTTTGCCAGCTTTTTAAATATGCAACCTACAATATCCTTGTTGCTATCATTGTTCTTGTTTTTATCAAACAATGTCCATTTACTTTAAATATATACCTACCTACAATGTTTCCCGTGAAATATTAAATATTCATGAAAGAAAACTCTATCTGACCTAACTTATGTGACTTAGACATAAGAATCTCACCTTAGAATGAAGTATATACTTTTGTTTATTATATTATTTATTAAGTCCCTGAATTTGAAAATATTTACTACTTAACAGTATCGCTAACAAAATAAGATGTCATGGTTCATCATATGATCAAACTATCTTTTATAGAATTTAAACTGTCGTTTTTTCTCAACCTTCGCACAAATATAAAAAAAACCTATTACTGGTAATCAGGGCCGTGCTTGTTGCTTGTTTAATAGTTTGTAGACATAGTCAATTTTTGAATTCTTTAAAACATAGTTGTTTATATCTATTTTTGAAGGTTTTTACAGAGCCTTGTTCAGAAAGTAGATTATAAAAACCAAAAAAGTAATATTTGTTCAACTGAGTTTATCTGTTTATTTCTGGGATTCTCAAACTTTTTAAGTCGCCCTTTTCGAATTCCACTTCAAATTAACTAGCTAACAATACCAGATAGTAAGGTGAATGCTTTATTCAAGAAAAATGAAATTACGTGGATGGAAATTAATTATCCAAACTAAAGAAATGTAAATATTTAAAATAAGGCGGGCAAGATCAAATCTTGAAAATATTTTTATTTTATTTAAATTCATGTCCTCTTAAAAAATTGTTTTTGCCCCCTCTGTGGGACGACCCCGTCGTTTGGGAACCACTGTTTTAGTCCATTACATAAAGGTTTCATTCTATATAGTAAGCATTAATTATTCATACAATGCCTCACCTATGTGTCAGCACAAAACATGCACTTCTACAATTTGATGACACTCTTTACTTTATTGTAAGTTATTTTAGTCAGAATTAGAATTAAATTTAGGACTACATATCACATTTTAAAATTGAGAATTAAAAAAATAACATTTTTATAAAGATATTATTGAACAAATTGTTTTTCGTTCTTTTTTGTTTCAAAAACAAGATATGTTTCTCGTCTTTTGTCACCATCAAATACTGGTTCAAATACCATGACATATCCAAGAAATATCAAAAATAATAATAATTTTCATCTCCTCTACTCTTTTTAGAGTTAAGGAGTAAACAGATGTCTTAAAATCTTGAATCTTTTATTAGAATTCTCAATAAATATTCTATAGAATATTTTCAATCTTCATGGTCTAATGCACAATTTTATCGCCAATCATAAAATTAGCTCAAACTGTTGAATAATTTACAACTTGATCTTTGCTAATGCTGATACAGTTTCCGCTTCAATTGTGGTTTTGTTGAATGTTCTCGATCTGACATTCCGACAGTTTGTTCTATATTATTAATTTTATTAAGATAGGGGTGTGCGGCCAAATGCGGGCCACAAACAAAAATTGTGCCAATTTTGCATAGTTTGCGGCCCATAAAATGAGTTTTTAATTTAGTTTAATCTGGTACAGGGGAGTATTTACCATCCCTTTACGTTGCAAAGCATACATCTGGGTCCAGTTATTATCTCTGATGTCACAATTCCTTTTTTGTGACCGCAACTACTAGAAAGCCTATTTTAAATTAAATAGGTTTGTCCACAGGTTCATCCAGTTATTTGTATTTGGCCCTCTATATTGAAAGTTGCACACTGCTGTATTGAGACATTATATTTAAGAATTTGCATAACAATATCCTCTTGTTTATAAACAGTTTGTAATATAAATTCGAAAGGTGCAGTGGGACTTTGGTATTTTTATGTTAGGGTTAGGGGTTCAAAAGTGAAAGAAGTTCACGATGTAAATTTGCAAGTACCGATAACCACATTTCACAGATTTTTGTCTACGATCGCAAAAATATTACGTCATCGATTAGGATCTCATATATATATATAATGTGAATAGGGACAAAAAAACAACATTTTGTTCCTTAAATAGTCATCGAAACCGAAGCGAAAATTGAGTCGCTCAGCAGGAAATTTCAAACATTATATAACCAAAACCAAAATTGAGTTGTTAAATTAATAAATAAATTTAAAAAAAAAATTGTTTGGCTAATTGGAGTGGTCCATAAATATTTTTCTTCTGTGTTAGATGATCCATATACAGTGAGCTCATAGAAACTTACAACTACCGTTGATCCAAATTGTCTAGACTTAAAATTTTAAAATATGGTCTGTATTATTTATTTGTCTGTTGTTCATTGTTGTAAACTTCTTGTAGAATAGAAGTCTGACCTTGGAAGTTGAGCTTTGATATTTGACCCCCTACACACATGTGATTTAGTGAAGTCAATAAACAAGTTGTGGCAAAATTTGTTCACGATGAACTGCATACATGTAGTTTATCTCCCCAAGATAAGTACAGTGTTTGCGGCTGCTTAAATATTCAATGTTTTATTAATGCTGTTTCCTCTCATTAATATTTAATGTGACGATCAGTGATGCGTATTTTTATCACAACATCAAAACGTGTCTAAAAATTTTATTTTAGAAACATTGCTTTTGTATTCTTTAATCTTGGTAATAAATGTGGCACTTAAAATAACTGATGGGAACCAGGTATTTTAATAAAAAAGCTAAGGGTTTGAGAGTCTTTGGATAAGGACCACAGTTTATGGAAAATTATGAATTACATGGCTGACCACTATAAAATTACTTTATGACCATTATGGTGTGTTTTACAGGCAATACTAAATTTTTTTTATTATTCACAGATGCATAAGGATGTTTGGTGGAAATCCAAAAAGAGCTGAAAGTGCTTTACACAATGTTGGCTTGACTACAAAAGGCAGGGTATGTATTATTTTAAATTGGACCTTCTATTAGCAAAATATAAATCTGGACAAATTCCCGTATTTATTCAAATTCAAAATTGAAGAGACTCGTCATTGTGAACACCTCCACTTCAGTTTTATTTTTAAAGAAAGGTTTGGTGTTTTAAAAATCCAACCAAAATTCATTTTCATGATTATACACATTTGGGTATTCAAAAGAAAAAACTGGGGTATTTTTTTCTTGCCAACAGTAGGATAGGATTTACATATTTATCCCGGAGGAGAGAAAATGCGATATGACGACCTAATCATATAACATAACCGGCCTTTTTCCGGTCACCAGTCCATGTCGGTTATGAGGTTAGTTTACGGAAACCCCCTACGACTACAGGAGTTTAAAAATTGTCATGCAATCAATTATCTCCCATAGGATTTGAACCTGCGAACCCATGCAGGTTAATCAGAGGTGTGGTGGCGAGCATATTTCTAAAGCTTAGCACGATGTGCTCCACCGCCGCTCCAGTAGGAAACAAACCAAAAAATTGTATTTGGCTCCACATACTACATACAGAAAAACATGATTAGAATTGGGTGTGACCTCTTTTTTCTGAGTCACCTTTTTAGAATTTATTCGACTAATTTGATATGAATTTGCAGAAAGATGAAACAATTGATCCCGATGAATTTCCACTTATTGCATTCAAGAAAGTTTTGCAATTGACTTGTCAGAGACCTGAATTGGATAAAGTTTTTACACAATTGTGAGTATATGCCATGGGTGATATTCTGAATTTGAGAATATTTGTTGAAGAAATAAGACGTAAAGACGGCCTAACCTTATGATGAACCACAGCCTCTCATCCGGGTTACCGGTTTCCTATAAGTCACAACAGTGTTTAAATCTCATTGAACCAAAAAAACTCATAAATAACCTAAGAAGCCTAAAGTGAAGTATAGAATTTGAGATGGCCCGTCACAAACAGTATCTGGGAATCAAATAATGAATTTATTGGGATGTTATTAGAATTCCTGCATCTCGTCATGAATAATCACAGATTTATTCTATAAAGTGCTTCGAAAGACTATTGTATTTTATTCAAATTAAATGTAACACGACGGTTTGTTTCAACTCTTTTTATTAGTAAATATATCACATTCGGTAGTAAAATAAATAGGCTTATCATCCTAATATATATATTTTTTTTCAATATAGTTTTTAAAATTCTTATAACAAACCATCTGTTATATTTCAGGGGAGCAAAAAGAATGGCATTGTCACTGGAGCAGATGAAGCGTTTCGTCAACACAGACCAACGTGACCCACGTTTGAATGAAATACTCTACCCGTTCATGACAGATGAGCAAGTTGAAGCCTTAATCATCAAATATGAACCGAATCATCATCTCTCAAAGAGATGTAAGCTTATTTAGAAAAATTTATTAATTCAGCGCGTTTCCAAACTATTAATAAGCTACCTTGAGCAAAATTATATGAAATTGGAATCTGCATCAATTGTAAATAAATCTACACACTTCATTGAAGCAATAAATGAGTCTACCCTCAAAACAAGCCAATTCAACAAGTTTTAATCCTAAAAAATGCTTCAATAATACATTATTAATAAACTAAAATGCTAAAAACTAAAGCTAAAAACTCATTTATCATGTTAGCGAAAAATGTTTTTGTCATCGCAGTTTTTTAAATTTTTTCTCCACTCTGACAAAAATCACTAATACGTAAGGAACTCATATGTTTAGGAATGATCGGAGTTCTTTCAGTTTGTTTGGTGTAGAACAGGGGTGGGCAACTTTTCTAGTCTGCGGGCCAGATGTGGGAAAATGAAGTCCTCGATGGGCCGGATTATTACATGAATGTTTACAACGCTCTCTACTTTGACCTTATATTGTTTGTTTAACAAGTGTGCTAACGCAATTGTTTATTTCACCATCTCGCACTGTGGTGAGAGTAGAGCTATCGGCAACTTTCAGAATTGATGCGTCGGACCACATTACAGAGTGTGGTTGGATACAGTTAGCGGCCGGTCAAAATCTCTTTGCGGGTTAACAAGTGCGCTAACGCAATTGTTTATTTCACCATCTCGCACTGTGGTGAGAGTAGAGCGATCGGCAACTTTCAGAATTGATGCGTCGGACCACATTACAGAGTGTGGTTGGATACAGTTAGCGGCCGGTCAAAATCTCTTTGCGGGTCGGAACCGGCCCGCATATTGCCCACCCACAGGACAAAGATTTGAATTTCACTCAATCTCATTTTTGTTAATCTTTTTTATTAGTTAAAAATTTATAGGTTAGAACAATGGTTCTCGACCATTTTTCTTTCATAGCCCATTTTCGTTGCACAAAAATTCTGTGGCTCGTTAAATTTTCCATACAAGGGAAAAACTTCAAGAAAAGCGAAAATCTATGTCTGCAAATATAGACTCTTTCACTTAAATCATTTGAATGAAAGTTGCCGCTGATTCAATTTTTTCCCACTATAATCAAAATTAACCAATTTATCAATACCTCTAGCAATTTTCGATAAGTTTGTGGCCCATCTAAAAAGGTTGCTGTGGCCCAGCAGTGGGCCATGGCCCAACTGGTTGAGAACCGGTGGGCTAGAATGATATTACTATGTATATATTATATGCAAAATATCATCCCCTTGTTTTGAGATTACGCATATTATCTATTGAAGTATGTTTACGGTGACAGTACCCATTTGTGCTTATATATTTTAACATCGCTCTCTTGCTGTTTGATATTTCACAGCTCAGTTATCTTTGGAAGGACTTGATGCTTATCTCCAGTCAGATGAAAATCTTTGCGTATCATCCTCAAAATACGGACTATACCAAGATATGAATCAACCTATCTCACACTATTTTATCAACTCATCTCATAATACATACCTGACTGGTAAGTTATTAAAATGTAGTTTGCTGTGAATTTTTTTTAAAGAAATTTGATTAAATTATAAAGTCTAATGCACTCATCAGAAATGATCAAAAAATGATCTTTGAGCAAAGTTACGTGAGGCCATTAAAGTACCATGAGTTGCTAAGAATAACTGCGCATATATGGCAGTCCAGTCCACCAATAGAGACTGGGCGCCGGTCGCCATGAAGCGGTCGAGTCCCGGCATCCGTTTTGTACCTCAGAAACGAAAAAATTACGAGACGATCGTGTGTCAGCAGTCTCAGTTTTTTTTGCAAACTCATAAGGGGCCGTTTTCAATTTGTGCGCCGGGGAGGGGCCCCCTCCCCCCCAAGAAAAATTGAAAATATGTACATATGAAACTATAAAAACATTGTGCCCACCAATTCACCTAAGTTTTAGCTGAAATTTGTGCTTTTTTGTTGACCTTTCAGTTAATAATACATAAAATATTAACCATAATTTTTTTAGAATCAACTATTCTCTTTCTAATGCATCTTTGTATTCAGGTAACCAGTACAAGAGTCGTTCGACAGCAGAAATTTATCGTCAATGTCTGATGGCTGGCTGTAGATGCGTCGAATTGGATTGTTGGGAAAAGAACACTGGAACCAATGATGAACCTGTCATTACTCATGGGTGAGGTTTCGATTGATTATTACGACCAATTATTATTCAGGATTATAAACACCTTTTGATCACTAATTACATTTTTTCAAACTCAGTATTAGGAATACTATCGGAATCAATGCATGCATTCAGTTTTAAATCCTTCAGAGGATGAATAAGTGCAAGAATTTAGTTTCGTGGGGGCGATGTAAGCTAAAACGTCAGAATGGTGATAATGCATGGTGAAGAGAATCTTTAAAAACAAATTTTTCATAGAAGTGACCTGTTTTAGAATTTACTTCATTTATTCAAGAGCAAAAATAATTTGACAAACCACAGCTTTTCATGAGATTACCAGCTCCTTTTTTAAATATCTAGCTGTTACCCACTTTAGATGTATACTTGCTTTACTCAAATACCGGCCGATACTTAATCTTTATTTTCTGAGATAAGAGGTTATCATTCATCTGGCCAGCACAGATCATGAATTTTTCAGATTTGTTTCAAAAAAAGCTTTTATCTGTGACACCATCAATCACACACTGCCAGTACAACATGACCTATTGACCCGTCACATAAACCCTTCTACCTCTCTGACTCAATCTTGCTCTTTGTGGTCAACTATTTTTAGTTTTTTGTGTACATTTTTTAATGTTACCAAAATGATTAATGACTAATGTGTACAGACTCCGAAGGTAATAAAATATTCAACATTTAAAACTAAACAGAATATGGTGTGATGTTTAAGTGTTCATCACATATATTATTAGTGTTAAAGCCCCAATCAAGGCTGCTGACTCTGGGCTAACTCCCTATTTCAATTCATTCAAAATGTCAATTTCATTTTCATTTACATGGTTGACAGGAAATCTGAAACTTAAATTTAAAGTTATTGGCTCGAACTACCAAGATCATGTAGTTGTGAGAAAATCTAAAATCAAATCCTACTCCGGCATCAAGTTGAAAAAAAAATTTACTCAACTCTGGCCCCTAGCCCGAGTAATTCGAAATTGCAAATCTCGACTCCGGCTACAATGAAAACATATCGACCACAACTTCACAGCTCTGCAGAATACTATACTAATAATTAACCACTGAAAACTGTGGGACTCTGTCTTCATCATAAAACAAAGCGTTCATGCGGACATACCATATAGAATTCAGAACCCGGAGCTATTTTGTGAGCTTCAATTATGCTGGTTTGCTTTCAACTTCGCTAAACTGAATACTGCAATTTTTATTAATTTCTTGATTATTTTTAGGTTCACTTTATGTTCTGATGTTTCATTCAAAGAAGTCATCGAAGCAATAAATGAGTCTGCCTTCAAAACAAGTCAATATCCTGTAATTCTTTCATTTGAAAACCATGTTGATAAGTAAGTTGGACTGTACATAGATATACAGGGTGTCCATAAAGTTTCTTTACAGTTGCAACTTTGTTATGAAGTCAATTCTAAATATATCTTGACTTAGTTTGTTGTATTTGTTCAAGTATTTTTACCTCATTTAATACATCTGTGAGGGCCAAAACAATATATGGTATCGATAAATTTTCTTTGCAATTTTAAATTTTTTAAGACTTTATGAACACCCTTTATGTAGTTGTCAGAAATGGCCAAATCGGAGGGCCGATACATTCTAAAAAATATTTTCGAATCTGGAAATTTGAATACATTTTTAAATTACACAAAACAAATTTACTCTAATGAATCCATGGACATAAGAATTAACCTTTAATTATATCATCCTAACGAAGCAGATATAAAACAAATGGCATGTGGATGTGTGATATGATTGAAATTCGTATTTTTTTTGGCTTCTGAGTAAGAATAGAGAATTAATAAATATCACAGTAATATACTTATGAATTATAGCCTCAGTTTGGCAAGTACAGAAACGAGAGCAACTAGACGTGCAATGAAATGTTTCAAATCATAGAGTACAATCAAAGTTTTTAACAACAAACACAATCTTCCATGTGCCTGATTTTTAAGCTTAAATTCTGTTTTAAATATAAATTCTGATTGTTCCGACTGTGGCGAGGATGTCTGCGCCATATTCGATATACTTATAAACACTAGAAACAAAATTCAGAAGTCGTGATATTCAATATATCCAACGTGTCGATTAGATTTCCCTGATGGTTGTATTGGCATAGTCTTGTCGATTACCATGGCTATTAGTACAGTTGGTTTGTACAGGGCAAACATAAATTACTGGTCCCGAATTTGGTCTAAACTATTTTTGCAAAAAAAACTATTTTTCAGTTTTGGACATTTCCAATCAAATACTGTACAAAGATGGTAATAACTTTAGGCTACATTTATGTTTTTTTTAATTTTGATCATATCAGTGAATATAAAAATAGAATAGGATTCGGTATTCTGGATTCGATTTAAGTATTCTAGAATAGTAAATTATTTTACATTGCCCATCCCTATTTTTAGCCCACAGCAACAAGAAAAGATGGCACAATATTGCAGAGATATTTTCGGTGAGAAACTCTTGATAGACCCACTGGAATCACACCCGGTAAGTGAACAATTTGTATTTAAATGGTAATAATTTTGGTGTTATAAAATATAGTGGCCAGTGGGAAATGAATATTTTAAATTTTATAGTCAAACTAAAATGAGCTTCTAAAAGTCGGTTTTTTGATAACTGAAAATATTAGTGTTTAGTTTTTTCTATATTGATTATGCTTGGGGTTGATCAAGTTAATATTATGAGGAAGTCTGCAATAGTTGTTCCCTAATCTTCCATTTTGGTTTGTTTGTCGGCGCTCCTGAAGTATGTGCACCAAGATGGCGCACAACCTGAACCCTAACCTGGTACAACTACTATGTTCAGGTTGTGCGCCATCTTGATCCACATATTTCTGGAGGTCCGTTTTAATCTCTATCATATTGCACCAAGTATTCATTGCAATGATGAAATGAACCTTTTTCATGAAAACTTTTCTAAATCAATGTATGCTGTTAGGGAAGCAGGTTAATGGCCCCCAAAGATGAGGGAATAGCGAATAATTTTTCATCTTTTGGAATTTTAAAAATTTCATCATTAACTCGAATTCTGACTTTGTTTTATAACAGTTGACTCCTGGAACTTCTCTACCATCCCCAAAGGATTTGCTAGGAAAAATCATTATCAAGAATAAGAAGCAAAGAACCTCACATGAACGTGAGTGTCTTTAGAAAATCTATGATATTCATCGCATTGTGATATCTTGTTGCTGTCATTCCAATCTTAAGGCCAGCTTCTGCCTTACCTGAAGCTGGGAATTTCCCACATCAATGCCCCAAACAAGCTATAGTCAAGCTCCCAATTGGAAGAAAGTAGCTATTTTTAATATTAATAGCTTGGTCATACTATCCCACTTTATATAGGTAATTGAGTGCGCTATGCAAGAAATAGGATTTCTCATCTATCTTTCCCCTCACAGAGATGAATATAAAAATGCTGTCCTACGATTGAGTCGTTGTATCAGCTTTTGTAGAAGATTCCAATGAAGCAACCTAACCGTGTGATTAATAGGCCTTTTTGGTCACCAATCTGCGAATATGATAGGCTTCTTTTTCACCATTTTAATTGGCCTTCTGTGCTAAAATTAGTTTTAAAATATTACTATTGCATATTCAGAAGGTAAGCAAGGGACTTTTTAATAGTTGCAACATTTTTGAAGAGATTTTATCAGGTCACCCCCAATCACTAAAATGCCATAAGCTACATAATTAAAAGCACATTTGAACCCATACATTTACATCTGTATGTCCGCGGTTTCAACTTATATGCGGGTGCTAAAATCCATGGGTTAAGGTTAGTATGGGTTCAAATATCCGTAATAAATAAAATTTCCATAGGTGCAATAGTATGCAGGTGCAATTGTCATGGGTTCAAATGTACGTGGGTTCAAATGAAATGGAACCGAATTATAGCGTGCCTGCACATTAGTAAATACCAATTTGAGTTCTGAAGCAGTTTAGTTGGTTAATACTAGGGATGGGCCGGGATTCGGATCCGGACTCGGATTCGAGTCGAATCCAGGCATTTTTTGAACTCTGGTTCGATTTCGAGTCCACGCCATTTCTACCGAGTCTATAATCAATTCTGTTTTACTAATTTACGCCCATGTTTGTACTTTTTCCTCTATAAATCTCACTACATACCTTAACTAGTTAAAATTCAAGGTTAGATATGTAACAATATCACTCGTGTGTATTATAAACACTCCTAATAAAATCGACGACAGATGTCCAGATAATATAACGCAAGTTAAAAACTATTGATAGCTTATAACAGGGATGGCGAACCACTGACCCGCGGGTCACAAAGTAACCCACCGCATTTTTTTTCGGTGACCCCCCAACGCACGAATGGAATAAAAAAAATGCTAACATAAATATAAGTGATAAAAATTGATAAAACCGGCTTAAATTTAACATCAAGTAATTATCATAATGTAAAGCCAACCAGGCCTGCTAAACCTCAAATTCAAAAGTATACTTTTCGGATCGGCAATTATCAAAAACCTCAAGTTTGGATGTATATACGCTTTCACCCCTGTATGAACCTATGGCTGAGACATCGTTTAAGACAAAACAATACAATTGATTTGTTTTTTCTCGCAACGTCTTGTTACAGCGTTCCCCTTCGAAATTGCATTAACCAAAATTTACTACGGACTGTTTTGGGCATATGAAAACTATATGCTACTTTGTATTTATTAGTTTCTCGCCTACAGTGTCGTTGAGAAAACAATCCTTTAGAACTTAATTAAAGAAATCTGAAATAACAATATGACAGGGTGAAAGTAGGTTAGTGTATTTGGATGCCGATCGAAACATATAATTTTATCTGAGTGGAGTCGCCTCCAAACTCTTTGATAATTTGTCGCATCAATTTAAACGTTTTTGGGTAATTTATATGGATGTTTTATACAAAATGTATTTTGTACGCGCCTAGTAGTCCCTGATTGAAGGGCTTCGTGAATAAAGCCCAAAACTACACAACACCAACTGAAGACTAGTGGCATCTCTCTATCATTTCACACGTGACATAGTATATTTAAGGCTAGAAATATCTGGAATTATGGGAAAGCATTGTAGTCAAAAGCTTTTTATTTTTCATATTGACATGTAAGAATTTCCAAATGACTGCCCAGAATTGACGCAAGGTGGTGGGCTGGAAATCCAATTCACAGCCAAGGCGCACATTGACCCACGTTTACGTTTGTTTTGTGGCACCAAAAAAGAAGAAAATTATATTTTTAAATTGATGCAACAGCTATCTGCGGAACCATTGGGCAAAAAAGACGTATGTACGGCGAATGTTTGTGAGCGCGTGATGCTGTAGTATGGTCAAAAACGTGTCGTCACGGACTCTGAGGATTCGACTCGAGTCCTTGACCTATTACTCGATTCGTCAATGTTACCTCCTGCTATACAAGCAGTATTGATATTCGCTCTCACACTTTCCTTATTGTATATTGCGTGGATGATAATTAAAATATATATTTTGTTTTTACAGCTCCAAAGAGGACACAAGAAGAAAAAGGTATGTTTTGATTTACTAAGTTATTTGCCCTATTTTTTTTTCAGAATAACCTGATGTTAGGTTATTTTATGGCTATTGGGTAAAATAGCAATTTTTCAATTGAATTATTATTTAAATATTATTAATCTAAATTCACACTATATCTCAAAGGTAAGAAACCATCATTGTAAGAAAGAACCCACTTAAAATGAAATAAAAACAATGCTCTGAAGTTGAATTTGTAGTCTAGATTAAATTTTTTTTAAATTTTGATAAAAAGGGTTGGATAGAAGTTGCGTTTCTGAATGCTTTATAGCCAGGATTACAAATTCAAATTTGCAGAGCCTCAATCAATGCAGTCTGAGTCAAAATTTTCGACAGAAATTGCAAAACTCATAAACACCATTTTTGTATTCAAAATTATGTCGACTCTAGTAACTAGAGTCCCATTTCTTTCACCCAAAGTCTGTGAAAATCCATGTCGAGATTTGAGGCTGGATTTTGTTTTTGAACAACTAAAAGTTGCCGGTTGTTCTCAGTCTCTATAGCATTTGAAAAATTATTTGATATAGTAATGCAACTAAGTAAGGGATAATGTAAACTTTCCATTATCTATTAATTAGTTAATTTATTCCTGTAGATTTCAAAATAATTACGGAATTTTCGTTAAAATGAATGAAAAACCCGATGTCCTATTTTTACTTAATATGAATCCACTAGGTGTCATTATGTTTCATCTCGGATTTATTTTATCAATTTTGAAATTATTTTAGTGACTATTCTCCAACAAGCTGCTAGCCTAAGCTTTGATTCTGGAACGTCTGAGAGTGAGTGATAGTGTTCCCAAATTTAAGTTTGTTTATCACCGGGAACACTAGGAATGCTCATTTTTATTTGTTTATTTATTTTTTATTTACTTTTTATTTTATTTTGAGTTTGTTTATATTGAACACCTCATCATTTAAACTAGCTTGTTGTACATTAAGCAGTCTTCACTAGTCACTATAAAGAGGGGAGTTGGGAGAAAAAATCTTTTTGTTGGCTCTATGATTTGGGCATTGTGCTAAACATTATGATCATCGTGAGTGTGTATCAAAATTAAGAGAGGTCTTGGCCGTATGATTAAGCCATCTTATCTCTTCACTGAGATATTAGAAATCATTGTTTTGTGATGTAAATATTATTTATTTCAACTTTAATAATAAAAAAAAGAGGTAAATAAAAAACAGGCAATTTATTTAAAATAAATTTACCTGCTGCAAATGGTACCCATTAAAGACATTTGGTTGTGGCTGCGAGGGAAGGGCTCCTTGCTTTCCTAGGGGGGGTCGATGCCAAGCTTTGGTTATTATTTTATACAGGTTTGCTGAAAGCAAGGTTTCGAGTCTTCAAAGAAAATTTGCTAGGAAATATTGATCCTCTGAGAGCTATGTATAGTTTTATTCTTGTGACAGATATGCTATTGAATTGAAAGATTTTATCTTATTGTTCAGGTTTTATTTCAATTTTATTTTAGCGTCATTTCATTTTTGTGTTTGCATGTTTCTATTATTTTGTTCCTAGGTCGTTACAACATATACAAACGTGGATCTATTCCCTCAGAGTCTGGTGCATTCTCTCCCTCTAGTGCCTCTAGTGGATCACCTGTTACCTCTCCCGGATTTTTCCCTTCAAAGCCTATACCACGTAATACATCATCAGGCAGTGTTGGCAAAAGCGCCGGGTCAGCTGGCAGGAAGCGTTCGGAGCCTGTTGTTGGGACTCCACACACCACGCCACCACTGACAATGTCCCCTTCATTGCCCATTGGAATAACCCCCCAAAATGGTACTTGTTCCCCCAATGGAACAATCGGTACCCAAAACGGGGGAAATCGTATTAAGAAAAAGGGAAAACTGATACCTACAGAAAGTGTGGAGGAAGAAACGCCACAAGGTCAGGGTTACCAGAGTTTAAGCGGCTCATGCGATAAAATTCATTATATTCCCAAATTTTTGCTTGAAATTTGGGCACAGATCTCCCGATTAGCATTAATTGCGACATTTGCTATCAAATTTACATCAAATTTAGTTCTTGAATTTTTTAAATGCATTTGCCATGTGATATCCAAGCTTATAAGCCAATAAGACCAACCCATGGCTTATCATCTAGTCAGGTTATTGTAATATTGTAGTAAATTGTCCAAAAATTATACGTAAAATTTGGATTATTTTTGCTTGTAAGATTTGGCTATCATGCCATTAAATCTTGTATATATTGAAATTGCATGATTACAAGATTAGTTCCTGGATGTCATCATTATTCATAGAGTATGTTAAGGAAAAACAATTTTTAGCTGCAATTGTTATGAGTAAATGTTACAGATGATAAGTTATGGTTCATTTTTTTTGGAACCATGCTAAATTCCTCCCATTATTTGTTTTATTTGTCCCAATTGTATGCATGCTTCCAAAGCTGAATTTTATTATTTTATGGAATGGTTTTGTTTTGAATGGTATATTTTAAAACTTTTGCACATCATCATTTATGTTCAAAATTTGATTTTGATAATGGAGAAAGGAAGGTTGATTACATTACCTTTTGTCCAACAACCACCATGTGTCCACCATATAGTAGTCACATTATGATATAAGGACATCCACTAATTTACCTAGGATTTTTCCACTCTGGCATGCCCCTAAACCAGTGGTTCCATACTTTCACAATAGGCAAACCCCTCCCAAAGACTCCCATTAACATTTCTGGCCCCATTCTCTTCGATACAAATAACCAGTTTCGCTTTAATCATGTTTCTATGAGTTATCTGATTTGCCATGTTTTTCTAAAGCAAGAGAATAAATGCCTTGCAAAAGATTTAAGCAAATACAAAGTCAATTTGCTTCAAATTAATGTTATTGCAAATGGTGTCTGATAAAAACTTGAACTTCTATATGAAAATACGTCATTGTGCCTAGAGAGACAAGGGCTCAGTTTGGGAAACGCTGACCAGAACCATTCATGATAATCTCATGCTTTCTGACTTAGTAGCAACTCTCTATTTCTAAGTGATTGTTTATATAATGATTTGTTTAAAGCGAGAATGTGAAATGCCTCATAGATAATGAAATTTGCTTCAGTTATGATGAATTCACTACATATAGCTGTTTGCCTGTGTGTGTTGACATAAACTGCTTCAAGTATTTATTAGTGCTCGTATAGGCGCTATAATTCTTTAGAGTCCCATTATCTCCTGGCACTCTTGTGGTTGCCCATAGCTTTAATCAGAAATCAATATCCTTTATTTGAATGAACCTGCTTTAAGCAAATTAACAAAATTGAGACATCCATGAGAGCAAATTCGTGACATTCATGACCTTAACAAATTCGTGACATTCATGACCCATCTTATAGTTTCATATAATAACATCAATTTATCCACTTAGAACTGAAAACGGAATGTGAAACTCCTCCATCGACGCCAGGACATCGTACACCAAGGAAAAGTTCAGCACCGACTCCCACTTCTTCATCTGCTCCATCTCTCACTGATAAACTGCCCAAAGAATCAACTCTGAGTGAGGAAGGGGATGAAAAAAAAGATACAAAAAGTGAAAGTAGGCACTTGTGTCTTGTATTAGGTCAAGATTTACATGTATATCCCATGGAGGAAGAAATCCATAATAAATAAGTAATTAATGTAATCATATGGCCAACCATGACTTTTCGTACAACTATTTGGATTATGGGATTAGTATGCTAGTTAGTTTGTTTTCAAATGCATGGACTTGATATTGGAGAAAGTTCTAACCGACCAGCAGTTATGTGATCCTCACTACGGCGGCAGGGAGTCCAGCGATCCTCTATCACACAATTGACCCCTACAGGATTTGAACCAACACAGGGGTGCAGTGGAAAGTGCCTTTTTAGCGCTTAACATGATGCGCCACACCAATAAGCCATCAAGTTTATTGTTGCAAGAGTTTTGGTATACACAGAAACAAAATATTTGTGTTTTATCTTATTATCAACTAGCATGAACAATCCATATTCTTGCTAATTTTTTTCTGATAAATAAGAGTTCACCATCAGAAAAGTATATATAAAGAGGTCATCTCCTATAATTTCAGCTGCTGGATTTTTGTCATTAATGATTTCAATTTCAAAAGCTTGCTTTGATTTCATAAACTAGAAGAGATAAATTTTTTTGTTCACAATAACATAAAGTAATTAGGGCAATATACTATAAACAGCCTATTCGCCTCCACATGTGTATTAAATAAGTATAAAACTTGATTAAACCCAGATTAAAATAAAACCAACCTGGTTAAGATATATGGAGAACAGACTTCATTACAAAATTAAAATTGTAATAAAACAATATGAACACTCAATTATATTAGGATAATTTTCAGAGCCGGTACATATATAACAACGTCATTGTCCCGATGTGCCTGAATAGGTATAAAAAGCTTTGATAATGCTTGTTCTGTAAGGATCTTACCAGTTTGTCATGTCATTTATTCGATATCACTATTGAGGTGACACTCTTCCTATTTTTCCTTTCAATTCAGGATTGGTAGCAAGACCAAAAACACTGTTTATCTGATAAAAACGGTCAGTTGGGCTAAATAAATTATTAATGTTTTGCTTAATACTAGTAAAAGTTCTCTTGTAATTCATACATCAATTTTCTTTCTATTAGCTGGAAGCGAGACTAAAGAGGATTCAACTTCTGAAGAAAATGCTGAACAAAAAGAAAAAGGTAGGAATTGCAATAATATAAACAAGAAATTTCTTTATACGATGCTCATTTACAACTTTCGCTCTGAAAAAGATCCTGCACTTACAAACATCAACTGATATCTGAGAAGCTACTTTGTTCAAAGGACCCAATTTTCGACATTGGCATTGTCCAAACAATTTATTACAATTTGTTTAATGTTAATTTCACACAATTTAAATAGTACCGCAGCGTCTATAGGAAAAAGAATGTGCAAATCCAAACATTTCAATATAACAGTAATTTTAAACATCGACTTTTAGATTGAATAGCTGACCGGAAATGAATAGTTCAGATATATATTACATATTACATCAGGAATTACCTGGGTAACAATGTGTGCTCATTGTGCAACCCGCGAAAAAGCATAGTAGTATAAGTGACCCATTATAAGTGGTTGGTATAGGATTTAACCTGAGATAACAACACAGTTCAATAAAATGAATCAATAAATTCAAATCCATAGTATATGTCATAAATAACAAAACAAAAAAGTAGATTTTCTTGATCACAAACGACTATTCCAATTACTCATATTCTGGACCTGGTGTATCAATGTTTCTTTTCTGTATGCCAGGAGACGAAGAGGTTGATGAAGATGAGGAGGATGAGGATGAAGGTCAGATCAGTTACAAAGAGTTCGATGAAAATGCAAAAGAAACTGGAACAGCAGCAAGAGAATCTGTTGCTTATGAAGCCATGTCTGCCCTGGTTAATTACGTCGAACCTATTAGGTATGTTGTATACCGGAGTTTCCCAAATTTTTGGCCGCAGACCCCTTTTCGAGAATTCTAATTTTGACCGACCCCCACGCTTTGCCTTATCAATTTCAGTGCCTAACCAACGAGTAAAGATAATGTTTCATCTGCAACACAATACAAACGACATTAATGTGATGAATTAGCTTGCTTTTCACTGACGGCAAGTCTCAACCTGTATTTTGTCATCCTAATTATAAGAGTGAAAATGCTGCCTCACGAATGTAGGTGGTTGCTAAAGGATTTTAATTGACTTTTCTGACAGCAATGGATATTCGTTCGCAAAGCTCAACCAAAAATATGCAATTTCGCTTTAATTGAAATCAATCATTAAATATCGAACAGACTTTTTTCATATCGTTGCGGACCCCAGTTCTTTAATTTTTCAAAATCTGCCTAAGCTAAGTGTGAAATGGATAACTGCCCATGACCAGCGTGGATCAGTAACCGTACAGAAGGCCGTGGCCTGCCATATAATTTTATGTTTTATTAGTTTTTCCACAATTATAAAAATAAAATAACCATCCTACGCTTGAGACGTTGAGTATTTAAGGCGGATCATTTTTTTGTATTAGTGACCTGCCACCTTACATATTTCACCCTCCAGGTATTTCTGCATTCTGTATGTCCATTTACTTTTTACATAGTCCTATGTAATGGGATTGAAATGAATAATCAAATCATGATTGTTTAATAGTGGTATTCAAAGTCTTTTATAAGTCTCCCTCTTTTTTAGGGTAACCATTTACTAGCAAGATAATGAAGTTGTTTTTGTATAAGTTTTTCTTAAAGCAAAGTTCTCAATCCTTGATTCAAAGTGAAAAGAGTTATTTACTAAAGCAAATGCAATCTGACTAAAAGCTATATATGAGTTCATCATTGACACAGAAACGCCAGAACAAACTGAAAGAAAACGAGACGAACTGGGCCAGACATCAACCCTTACTTCAGAATTCAGTGCTGCAACATTCTAAATTTACCTCTTTTCATCTTGTTATCAGATTCAAGTCTTTCGATATTTCCGACAAGCGAAACCGCAGCTATGAGATTTCGTCATTTACCGAAAATGCTGCTTTGAGACTAATTACCTATTTTCCAATCGAAATCGTCAATTATAACATGCGACAATTGAGTAGAATCTATCCAAAGGGTGCCAGGGTCGATTCTTCAAATTACAACCCTCAGTTGTTCTGGAATGCTGGATGTCAACTTGTTGCTTTGAATTATCAAACTTTAGGTGAGACCATTCATTTTTATGTTAAGTCTATGCTATATGCATTGTCATTACTGTTTTTGTGAGCCCTACAGTCTGTATCTGTTATCTTGAAACTGCCCCTTGACTCTTTTTTCTATAGAAAAAAAATTTTCTATTTACAAAATTGGGTAGTCAATGTCGAACCAGAAAGATTTTGGTTGTTCCAATAAATACATCACATATTGTTAGACATCGCTCGTGTCATGTTCAGGGCAAACGAGAGAATAATCACTGTATAAAAATACGCACTCTATATTTACAATGTCAGTAGTACTGTAAATGAACTTAATGCAACCCCTGGCACTATATGAACAATTCATTATTTAATTTTCAGATCCCAACATGCAGTTTAACCTTGGTCTGTTCGAATTCAATAACAATTGTGGATATTTGTTGAAACCAGAACACATGAGACGAAAAGACAGACCATTTGATCCCTTCACACATAATATAATAGACGGTGTTGTTGCAGGGACTCTTACTATAAAGGTAAGGGGTTGTATATTCAACAAATATGTCGTATTCATTCCCATAATTATTTTAAAATATTAAAACATTTTAGCATGTCATGTTGAATATCAAATTTCATTTGCACGCAATCGTATGATTGCAATGAGATTGCACTTGTTGTCTACTGTGTTTTATTTTGCTTGACGATCAAACCGAAGAGATGTCATTTTCACAAGGTGCCGAAGAGGCAAAAATGACAGTTTCTTTTGGATTCGAATACTGTGGGATATTTTGAATTACGCATCCCTAAATGCTTTACATTTTTCTGGAACACTCCATCAGTCAATATTTCTCCTAATTTTTGCAATGGGAGAACACACTGTAGCACACCTTTCCTTTGAACAATAAGTCGTCATTATTTGGTACATCAGTTGGACGAATTTTTTCATCCATATATGCAACGGGAAACACTTATAATTTTTCCTCCTCCACCATTCAACTATATGCTTCCGAAGAGAGATACTTGCCTAAGTAATCCCATACCCGACATGGACTGACAACTGGACGAGATGCCGTGGATCGCCATACAATCAAACTGTCTCATTGGCTTTCTTCTCCTTCTGGGAGAAATATGTAAATCCTATTCTTTCGTGAATTTGAATCAGATTTTTAATTTTTCAGATCATTTCTGGTCAGTTTGTTTCGTCATCAAAAGTGAGCACATTTGTTGAGGTTGATATGTTAGGCCTGGTGGCCGATACAGTGAAGAAACGTTATAAAACATCAACAGTGAATAATAATGGAACAAATCCACATTATGATTCTGATCCATTTGTTTTCAAAAAGGTCAGATTGTATGCTTTGAACCATCAACTAATTCTTAGAAACGGGGATAAACTATGTTTATATAGGGCCTACAACATTTATGATCTTGAAATGTATCATATGTCAATTCTGAACAAGACTCACTATCAGCCACTCAAGCAAAAAAGTGAACTAATTATTTAAGAATTTTTGATTATGGAAATTGTTGAATTTCTTCCTGCCAGAGAATGGTTAGCATAGCCCATCGTTTTCTACTAACTACACCAATTCTTCTGGAACAAGTAACCAGTTAGGTGCTTCCATACACAATTGGCTAGGTAACTTGCACCATAAAAATTAACTGCCTTTTTGACGAATATCCCCAAAATTTCACCCAGTATTGTTGACATTCAAAAATCAAGATTTACCTGCAATTTCTTACTATTTCATTTACAGATTGTTCTTCCAGCACTCGCAACACTTCGTATTGGGGTCATGGACACAAATGGCAATTGTATCGGGCAAAGATTTCTTCCTGTAGAATGTCTGAGGCCTGGATATCGATACATTACATTGAGAAATGAAGGAAACCAGCCATTGACGATGCCTTCTTTGTTTGTACATATCGAGGTCAAAGAATACATTCCAGAGAATCTTATAAGTAAGACCAAGTCAACCGAGTTTTTTAATCTGACATGGCCAACTACGGCCCGCGGGCCAAATCTGACCCATTGAGTAATTCAGCTTGGCCTGCCTGATACTGCCATGACCAAACTAAAACCAAATTTTTATGTTCCAGCTGAAAAATAGCTCAAGGAATTTGTTGATTGTGATTAAATTTAGTTTTGGCACGAGGCCTATTGTTTTACACTTTTGCTTCTGTAACACTGTGAATACTTTTTACATTACAATTACGTATGGCCCGCCAGTCTAGGGGGAAAAACCTTGCCCACCCCTGTGCTGAGCGATAGAAATATGCTTACCATCAAACCTCTGACTACCCATGCATTGGTCGCAGATTTGAATCCCGAGGAAGGATAATTATGTGCGGGGGGATTACTAAAACTCCTCCTAGTTCACCTAAGCGCTGGCAGTAAACGCTTTGCCATAAATTCCATTTATCTGAATCTAAAAACTGGCTAATCCCATACCTGACATGGACTGGCAGCCGGGCAAGAGGCCGTGGTTCGCCATATGATTAAGCTGTCTTTCTCCTCTACTAGGATAAATATGAAAACCTTATCCTTACTTATGACATGTTACTTGAGTCATTATTATGTGTAAGTCACAAGCAAAAGACCAAGGCCTGATGTGCCAAAAGTCACTATAGTCATGAAAGAGCATAATATAATTTGAACTTGAAATTAGTGGCATAATCATTATCCCAGATGTGTATTGTCAAATGAGTTCTCTTCTCAGCTACACAGATGAGAGGACATGAGAGGACTCGCTTTAAAGTTTGCTTCACCTTATTGTAACTTTTTTCCACAGCAAGGTCCCTACACTGGATGTAAAACAAAAAAGTGATTCAAGCTGTAACTAATCGATTCGAGCTAGCTATGCATTGGTTTATCATTAAGATAAAGATATCAGTTGAGAGTCGTTTACTAGACTTAAACTTATTATTTTTGTTTGTTATATCTTATTCATTGTGCCATATCTTTTAGAATTTGCGAGCATTCTTGCAAATCCAATCGAACATGTAAAGAAACAAGAGAAAGAAGAACAGGAAATCAGAGGAAGGCAGAACGCCTTGAAAAGATTGCTGGATGTTGATGAGATCACACAGCTTGATCTTCCCAATGATGTTGGGAACGGTAACGTTGAAAATTCAAAGGTAAGAGAGAGAGAGAGATTTAGTATTTTGTCAACCAAAAAATACAGTCGTCACTACAGTGAAAAAGTACCATCAATAAAATGGTTTTGGTATGAACAGAAGGGGGCGATACGACCATAGATGTCCAAGTCCCACTAAGATTAAAGATTAATTTATTATTACCATTAAATTTTATTATTAATCCTAGAGTTGAGGTTATCATTTGTGACTACTCATTTATATAACCCACTTGGCTGGCTTGCATTCCATTTTGTTTAAGAATTGCTTAATTTAGCTAGTTAGTTAATCTTTCAGACTAATCAATTTGGACAGTATAAGAAATCGAAACTGTCTTGAAGTTGCATGAACCAGCCTGTTTAGGAACCCGAAATATCCATCAATTTAAAAAATATATTTTTGAACAAAAAAATCACATTTGTCGGTAGCTATTGTATTGGGCCATTAACTTTCTAGAATTTTAGAAGTTAATAATTGAATTGTCCCTTACATGGTTATTTTATTTATTTCACAAATTTTCATCAATATCAACCTGTAAATTGATATTCATCTACTATTGTTCAGTGTGTATCATGTATTATAGCATTTCTCTTATGCTAATCGCAAACTTAATTTTCAGCCTTTGATTATTCAAGGAATGCCAGATGAATTGTTGCCATCTAAACCATCAGACAGTGTGAGAGTGTATGTTGGTGTGACACCTAACGATTCTTTACCTAACAATGAAAAAGCTCAAACTCTACCAAGACAGGCAAAAGACAAACCAAACAAAGGCTTTGATCAATGTAAGTATATTATTTAAATCAGAATTTTAGTGCTGATTGAAAATCTGCAGGATACCATTGATGACTCCTAAAGCTGAATGTAGATTTTAATACTTTTGCACAGAGAAAGATTCTAATCCCTCAACTGAAAATATAAAGTATACTAATAAAAGCCACCAATAACCACTGGCAAAATAGTCATAGTCAATTTTATTTTTTCCAACCAGCAAAACAATAACATACAAAATCAAAAGATAAACAAAATTTAACACACATTTTTACTGGGGAAGGGAAGCCGCGGGGAACCAAATTTGGTTATCGAGCAGCGACACCCGAAAATAGGCAATATAATCCTAGCGACAGAGATGCAAGTAGTTGACAGTTGCCACAAGACTTCCAATAATTTAAGTGCCGTGTCACTAAGGTTCCCACTGAAAGCTTTTGTACCCACATTATGCCTTCAATGTAATGTGATATACTGATACAATCTCTGAAAAATATAAGATATAATCAAATTAAATACCTATTTTATTCGGTGCGCTTAATCTGGTTAGTTCCTACATTGGTTGAAATGTCTTTTGAAAACTAATTTAACCTTTAAATGTTGTGGTAAATTTATCATCTATTCGGAATAAAAGAACTCAAAAGTTTGGGAAATTGAACCAGTGGTCAAATAAAAATAATTCTTTCATGGAGATGTGTGAACTCCACAAAATTAGTTGTGAACTAAATTTTTCCAATTTATTAGTTCACTTACTTGCAAAAATGACTGTCACAATTATTCACCCTTCCAATTTTCTTCAGAATATATATTTTAGACAAAACTCCTAATATTTCCTTTGTTTTCAGTACAATCGTTTAAGCCTGATGGTCTTCAAGAAATGAAAAAACTGAAAAATTTTGTCGACTTACAGAAAAAATTTGATAAGAAAATTACAAAAGTTTTAAAGAAATTGAGAGACGTAAGTTCTGATTTTATATTTATATATATTAGTGGAGATTTGCGGATTTGAATCCAGTGGGGGACAATTAGGTGCCAGAGAGTTGCTCGACTTCCTGCCATTGTAGAGTGGTCCACGTAACTCTTAGTCGGTTACAGCTTCCTCCACCATCAAATCCATGTATCTGAAACAAATGACTGGTTAACTAATCTCATACCTGACATGGACTGGTAACTGAGTGAGAGGTTGTGTTATGCCATGTGATCAAGTTGTATTGCGCTTCTCCTCTACCCCCAAGATAAATGTGAAAATATTTTCCTCACAATGTCTATTATGACAATATTGACTCCAGTTTCCAAACACGTCATGGTTCGACCAATATGTTACTGTATCATTATACAATTTTGTTACTTATTGTATCTTCTTTTCAGGAATATGACGTTGTTCATGGAATATATTTCAACAAGAGTCGACGACCTTCTATATTCAAAAGCATCTCAAGCATGACAAGAAGTGAGTGTTCGAAATTAGATTTGAATTAATTGGATGGGTATTTTTCCACATAAAGTAAAGTAATTGCATGGATGCCCTTACTAAATTTTCAATTATGCATTCTTAGTTTGTAACACTGCTTAGAGTGCAAGTAATTACCCTTTTCAGGGGTGAACAGTCCAGCAATCTTTGCGCACATAATTATCCAACCTGCGAGCCCATGCAGTGTAATCATCTATGTAATAGTATGTGAGCGGAATCATAACGCTTAGTATGATGCGCCAAAGGCCGCACTGAGCTATGCAACAAAGAGTCGACTTCATTGTGATACTCACCCCAAGTAGTTTTACCCATTACTTGATTTATTATACATAGCCCTGTAAATGAACTACACTGAGCCCTGAATTTTATACTTGTATTGAAAGATGAGAATAAAAAATCTGTTTTTTTAGACATGAATCTCCCATTTGAAATAAATACAGTATTACCCCCAGAAGCAAAAAAAGAGCATTTGTTGATGTTGATCCGAGAACATTTGAAACAAGAGAAAACAGCGAGACAAAAATTTAATGACATGGTGAGATCTCGTAAAAATAGTCTGGATTGATATAAACTTTCAATTTGGGCCCAGCGATGGCCCAAGGGTGTGCAACCTGCGGCCCGTGGGCCACAAGGAAAAATTGTGCGGCTCGTGGAGACGTGCCAATTTTGGATGTTGTGCGGCCCGCGAAACAAGTTTTTACTTTTTTTTTTTTTTCAATCTGGTATGCGCGAGTAATTCCAATCTGTTTAGCATTGCAAAGCCTATACCTTGCAAAGCCTATACCTGATGCCTATGACAGTTGTTTGTACCTGGCTCACCTGTATAAAAGGATGCACACGTCTGTGTTGATGCATCAGATCTCCAAGTCCAACACCAGGGTGTAATAAATTTGGCAGACAACGGGGAAGAGGAAATATTCCGGCCCTTTCGATATTAATAGCTCTTTACATATCGATAGATATCAATGGTTGCTTATACAGTGCCCTATTCGAAGCAAATGTATGTAAATAAGCTTCATATAAAAAATAAAGTCAATCTCACTCCTCCTCATTTATGAGTTGAAGTTGCGCAAGACTAACTCTCTATCCTTCCTTTGTACCTGTGATTGTTGTAAACTGCTTGTCTGAGGAAGTCTTACCTCGGTCAGACAAAATCTTTGTCATTTTTGTAAGGATGGCACAAACATGTTGATTTTAAAAATTTCCCCGCATTTTGTAAATGGAGGCTCATGTAGAATTTAATCTTGGAGCTCCTAGAAGAGAATCAAAAATAAATTTCAGACTTTTCATTCTCACACAGGATGTTTTGTCAAACAGGCCCAAAATAGGTTAGAATGCGATTGTGTAAAATTGAAGGACTTATCTAACTTTTACAGCAATATGTTTAGTCAAAGTAACATCAATATATTTTCAAACTAAACTGCTTAATATTTCAGTTCATCAAGGAATTTGATGTGTTGGTGAAAGATCGACAAGTTGTTGAACTCAAAAAGCTTGATGAACTTTCCAAGAGGTGAGGATTATTTATAGGATCAGAAAATCACATTCGAAACAATATGAAATACCTGAACAGTTAGGATAGGATTCACATATTTATTCCGTGGGAGAGGATGGTCGATAAGGTGGATTAATCAAATGGCGAACTACAGCCTCTTGTCTGGTTATCATTCCATTCGGGTATGGGATTAGTTATACACGGACTTAATGGTGAAAGCCGTAACTGTTAAGCGGTTACGTGGACCACCCTAGGGCGGCGAGGAGTCCAGCGATCTTCTCTCACATGATTCCAACCTGTGAACCCATGCAGGGTAATCAGAGGTGCGGTGGCGTATTCCTAATGCTTAGCACGAAGTAAAACCGCCGAGCCGAGCAGTTATGTAAATGCTTCCTGATTTTGAGTTTATATTCAACCAACTTTAAATTTTCCGATTGAAGTACAAAGTTCTAGTACACACTTCTAGAACTTAATTGATCGAGTTTACAATGTTAAAAAATGGCTTTCACCATTTTAAAATAGTCCTAAAGAATAATTACGTTCACATTGGTTTCTTGTAATATTTTTTAAAATTGGGACTCAAAGCCTTTTCTGTAAAATCTGAAATAATAATAAAACCTAGAAATAAAAGTCACCCATTGAGTGTAATTTTAACAGTCTGAATAGAATGCGTCTCACTGCTTCAAGATATTTAGCATAGTTTGGTCTCTCAACGATAACTTAAACGGAATCTCAAAATTCTGTGTCAACTGACATATGGACCTAGCGGCTATTAGCGTGGTGGTGTTTGCTTATTTTGATTGAGCACTTGCTAGTTTTTTCATCGAAGGGAAATAAAAATTTAGCTGTCAAAATAGTCATATACTCAAATAACTTATTTATTTAGTGAAAAATCTGAAGTCACAGACCGAAAGAATTCTGAAAAAGATGAAAAATTGCGCAAACTTCCGAGTGATCTGCCCAAACAAGAATTATCTCGAAGAAAAAAAGATATCGATGACACACTCGTTCGGGAATGTGTTCTTGAAATTACCTTGGTATGTTTACATCAGCCAGGGATTTGTCACAGAGAGGAAAACTTATAAAAGCTAAACATGTTCATTCCATATACAGATATACTTATTCAAAGTCTTACTAAAGTCTTGTTTTTATTCCAGCTTCAATCTGGACAAGAAAAAAGATTGGAAAAAGTAAAGACAGAACAACAAGAGATATTAATGCAAGTTGATGAGGAAGAAAGAAATGTGAGTATTTGGTTGTATTATAAGGCAGGGGTTCCTAAACTGAGGTACATGTACGCCAGAGGTACATTTTGACTTTTCAAAGGATGCATTGCCCTCTTTCATTGCAATTGAAACGTACGTTTTTTCGATGAATTTATTTGATTTTGATTTATGTTCATATGTGCGATGGTTGTTGCACAACGGAAATAAAATATCTGAATCTGCATTAGATAAAGTATAAAAATATTATTCGTTTTATAACTTCTAATCTGACTTAAAATATTTTTTAATACCTGATGTTAATGATTAGAAAACCTGAGCTTAATAACTCCTCAGGCAGTCACATATTCACCCAGTAGAAGCTCCAACTACTAAAGCTAACAAGTCTACTTTTGCAGTTCACATGACCTATTTTGTCCAATCACAGCACTAGGTTTGGAGGTACACAGACGAAATTATAAATTGTCCAAGTGAATGAAAAGTTTGAGGGTATTCCCGTAGTATGCGAACCAGTTTGGGGCATAGTTCCAATTTTCCCTATTTTAGTTCTATTAGGAGTTCGGGGACTGTTTGTGTTAGCCAAATGAATATTACCCCTGCCCATAGACTTCCGTCCTTTTACACAATTTGATATGAAATGGCGAACAAAATTAGTTATCTCCATATTGGTACACATACTTTTGGAGCTCCGTGCAAAAGTTGGTAGCATATGCCGGACCAGTTTGGTTATGGTTGACTTTTAATATACAAACTATTTTTTTCCTAGAAGTGAAATTCTCCACGATCTTTGTATTCAATTCATTCTGTTTTCTTTCTTGCAGCGTAATGAACATATCATTCGAAACTACAACCAACAGCTAAAATCTGTAAATGAAATCTACGACATCAGGCAGGTTGAATTTTACAGGGGACGCGGCAACAATAGTCTCACTATAAACTCTGTCACTTACGGGGAGGCAACTAATGATGGTGAATATATCACAAAGTTATAGCCTGCTTGGAGCACGTCATGGATTAATTTTTGACTCATTTATGCTTGTTTGATGAACTTTTATTCATTTCTTTTTGATTTGATCTGTTTCTGACATCTGTTTTATCATTGAAACACAAAGATATGCATTCTGGCATGTTACTCCTATATCTGTACATACTTTTACTTTAATTTTTTTTGACTACTTTTAGAATAAATCATTTAACTGTTTCTATCTATTTGTTGTATTATTTTCTTAAAGAGTTACTGATAATTTGGAAAATTGTTATTCATCAAAAAATGAAAACGATTCTACATTTTTTTTCTAAATTGTTTTTTATAAAATATTGTTGTGATGGTGTTAGATATTCTTACCTTGTTAGGTTTACATAAAAAATTGGGATTTGATAGTACATGCCATTTTATATAAATAAACCACTCCAATATCATAAGTAACTGCTAGTCTTGGGCCTTACCTGAGTAAGGCATTCGGGACCTTGTTTTGAATTGACCTAAATTATTATACAGAATTAAATTTTACTTAAAGTCTGATTATGTGCAAAACCAAGCCTGAACTTGTTAGACCAGTGGTTCTCAAACATTTTGAGTCGCGTCCGCTTTTTAGAATTTCTCAAGTCTTGCCGCACCTCAGAAATAACTAGCTAATAATAAGCTACGAATAAAAGATAGTAAGGCAAAAGTATGTTTTATTCAAAAAACACGTTGAAAATATGTGTACGGAATGTAAATAATGAAAAGTTTTAAAAACAAATGAGGCAGGCAAGATCAAATTGAATGAATATTTTTTAATCATCTACATGCCCCCTAAAAAAATTGTCTACGCCCTACTTATGGGACACGCCCCACCATTTGAGAACCACTGTGTTATACAATACTGATTACATACATATTTTTTTATTGCTATGTGAGTAAAACGTGGTAATGCTGCTCAGATGGTTCAGCAACGAATAGCAAAAATTTTGATAATCATAGAATGCTTGCAATTACATTTAGCTTGCATGCTTGTACAACACTCCCATGGCAGTTCAGATTCAGTCATCCTTGGTATTTATTATATATATTTAGAAATATCCAGTTCTTCGTGAAAAGCCCATTAACTATAAAAATGATTGGTTATTCAATTCACAATAAATTGATATTATTTAATTTTGATCCATTCTTGTCTCACAAAAACCATAAAGAAATTAAATTATGCCCAAAATAAGTATATTTCATTGCTGTTGTCTGTCTACAATTTCTATTATGTTGCTCAGTCTCATAAAATTAGCAAGACGCGACATTTTAAAAACCTTGATAACAGAACACAAAATCGAATAGTTGTTATTTAGAACGTTTTTCGACCTCCAGCAATTGGTTACTTTTTATCTTCTTTTTTTTTTCCTTTTATGGTAAAACTGGGACCTTGTAAACTTTTGTCTTTATATCACATGATTATATTATCCTCATTATCTACTTCTACAGTATTATTATCTAAGAAATCGTAAAAGATAAAAACGCATTCCTGACTCTTTGAATTCCGAAGTATTTTTACATTTAATCGTTTATGAATTGACTTTGAATAGATGTGTATGGTATGATTTTCTAGGGCATTTTGCACCAGGCATTGGGTGTATTTTTTGAAAGGGGAAAATTTCTAATTCTTGTTATTATCGTTGTGCTCCAAAAAAAATTTTTTTTGTAAAATTATTTTTCGCTGATGACGCCAACCACTGATAACAATCTATTTGCCCTGACAATTTGAGTATTTCACTCAGTGATTTATTTATATTATGGTACAAAATATTTCTTCACAAACTATTTTTCAAATCCTTTAGTTGAATATATAAGGCACTAATATGACGAATTTTGATGCGTCTCAAATCAACTTCCCACTCAAGGATAAATCTGAATGCCATCAAAGCTTTTGTGCACTGCGAGAATTAACTGTTTAATTGCTACTACTTACCAAGCCTACTGTATTTTTCATTTTATTTTTTATTCCTCCCAGTGTCTGACATTGCAATGAGATTTTGAAAATTATATCTTATCTGACAACCTGCCCAGACTTGAATCTCAAAGTCGTCTTGCAAACTTTAATATTTTAAATCTAAATGAGCACGATGGTCCCAGCGGTTGAAGAATTAGAATAACTGTGTTACAATGCATCTAGGTTTCAAATCCCCCCCCCCCCTCCAATATGCAATTAAACTGGGTAGGCAATGCCCAACGAGATTGGGTAGCCTGTTTAGTGCATCATATAAAAATGAATCTGCCAATAATAGCTGCAACGTCATTTTCATACCTGTTCTTCAGCAAATTGCATTTACTGCCAAATGCATTTATCATATTTGTTATACAATTCAGTAAAATTGAAAATTCGGTCGGATCATTTCCTAACAGGTATTTATATAGTCTTGACTAAATCTAAAAAATGCTCAAAGATGAGAATAATAAATAGTAGTTTGTGTCTTAATAACTAAAGTGGTAAATGTAATATAATCCCATAATAGCATTACTAAAACTACTTTAATATTTTGGTATGCTTGGACAAAACTGCAGATTTAATTTTTAAATTTGGGCTTTGGCCATAACGTGATGTGGGTGAATTACACTGGAAGTTTATCGTTTCAGTTTTAACAATAATATCTTGTTTGATCAAACTTTGCCTCTTGTAGGATTAGCCAGGGGGCCTGAGAGGCCACGATAATTTTTTTTAGAAATGCTGCTGTTCTTAAATTTGATTTACTGAAAACTCGACGTTTTCTGGCTTACTATCAATAATCCTTACTTCAAATGAAGCAACCAAGATAGATGAAAATCCGCGTTTATATATCTTATACTGAAATATATAGCTTATACTCAATCTGTAATATGTTGCTTTGACCAAACTTTGCCTCTGTCTCTTGTGGGACAAAGTTACAATCTGTTCTGTTTTTGAGCAGCGCACTAATTTTGTTGTTATAAGACAAATATTTTAATAAGTCACGCCAATGAATAAATGTTTTTTAAAATATATTTTTAACAGGGCACCATTATACTTTACATACATTTTTTCCTAATTTTTTTTAAATGTGTGTGTTGGAGGGTTGATCATATTCAATCATAATATGGCTGTGTTATCATAGATTCCCATAGAATATATACGGTAGTTTCATACCAGTTGAGGTGTCCATGAATATTAAGATACATTATTTCCATGCTTGGTGTCATGCATGTCCAAAGTTATAGATTTATTTTTATGTTATTTTTTTGTAGCAAGTCCTAAATAATATGTCCTCCAAGGTTTTGTTAAAATCTTCTTGAAGGTGATATTTTTCTCAATAAATTATACTTTGATTTTGAACCTGTATAGAATTGAAGTACACCAAAGCAGGACGACCTTTAAACCTTGAGTTAAGCTTATTCTTCAACCTGACATGAGATTTGTGATAACATATTCTGAACTTTTAGCCAAAAACTATTTTTATCTGAATTATATTTGCTTTGTTTTTAATAATTTACATAAAAACAAAAAATAGTTTGTATATTGAGATATATTCTTGCAAAGGCATGATGGAGTCTTGCCTGCTATATTCCATGTTTATGCAATGTGTTTGTTTGTACAGAAATCATTTATGAAATCATAATGGATTGTATTTATGTTCCTTTGATGTCATAATGTTACATTAAAGATATCTTTAATTGATTTGTCATCGTTTTGTTTGAGATGCTGAGGATGTTCAGTCACTTTATTATGTTGGTATGAGGATTGAATGCTTCGGAAAACCAAGCACACATCATGCCTTTATTTAGGGCGATTTAGGAAAACAGGGATCTTTTGCAGAAAGCACCTGACACTAATGCAAAAATGTGAGATATGAGAAAACACCCTCGCCACGTTTCAAATAGACCAGTTACGGGTTAGGAAATATTCAAACTGTATTCCTTACCCTAACCCTAGCTGGATCTCCATTTTTTTTACTGGCGGTGGGGTGTCTGTCACAAAAAGGTTTCTGTTTGAAATATTTATATTCGGTTTGGTAATGCAACAAGTATGGCTCAACTGTGGCTCGTTGGGCTTTACCTGTGTAGGTATCCGATCAGAGTCCAAATTCGGGCTGTTGGGTAATTCAATCCGGCCTGCTTGATGCTACCACAACCTAATTTTGATGTTTTAGCTAAAAAAAAAATAGCTCAAGGAATTTGTTGAGATTGTTATTAAATTCATAACACGTTTTCCACTTTTTCTTTTGCGAAAATTGTTGAAATGTAACTTTTTACTTCGCACGTACATGGCCCTCCAGTCTAGATGGGCAAAAGTTTTGGCCCATGGTCCAAAAATATTGCCCATTCCTGTTATAACCCGTGAATTACTGGCAAGTTGAATCTTGATATTTGTCATAAAAATATCAATTAAATTCTCATTTTTTGTTTTCATAATTTCATTAAATTTATTTTAATGAATCAGGAAATTCTTGGAGAACTTCCTGTTGATTTCTTATATTTTCATTCTTTTCTTCCTTGAGGTTCAGACAAAGAACCGAGACGAAGATCTGACAGCAGAAAGAACCAACTTCCCGTTCCCGGCTTTAACAATGAAAGAAGATCTTCGTGTCCAAGCCTGCACTGACTTTGCTAACAGCATGTTCTATCTTACTCATAAACTTTATTTCAACTTTTTAAGTTCACTCTTAAGCGATAATGCTCACAAATCGCTTATATAGGTGACAAAAAGATTCAATATGGGAAGCGATTAAATGGTCGGTTATATTAATAACCTAAACCATTTGCGCGACGAAATGTTATAAAGCAGCGGTGTGCAGCATGCAGCCCGAGGGCTACAACCCAGTCCGCCAAGGCATTTATTGTGGCCTTAGTCAACATCCAACAATCTTGCCCATCAAGCATAAAATCATCATAATCCAACAGTTTATGTTTAAAAGTTCGCTCACATGAGTAAAATACATAGTTTTTTTGCTCGCTGCTATTATTACTGTAATTTGCTGTGTACTTTGAAAATCTATTTTTTTGTGTGGCCCAGCTAGATGTCTGAAGTTGGTTATACGACCAACCTACAAAAATAAAAATGTTGCACTCCCCCCCCCCCCCCCCTCAAATGATGCGAATATAAAGTCGTTACCTTGAATTAATTGGTGATTATTGCAAACACGCCTCAAACCATATTACGTCATCCCAAAAATGATTTCAACACCCCGTGCAAAGTGTTTTCAGTAGTAAATTCAGCATAGTATGATTTTCACTGAATAAATGCGAACTACTTTAAAAAACCGACTGCGCGCAAATTATTGGACCAATGCCTTAATATTAAGCCTTTCCCTCGCTTTTGAGTAATAATGGAGTTTCATCATTTTCTTGCATATTTATTTCTTTTTACAATAATGGTGTTTTGTTTTAGATTGGTGTAAAATTACTTGATCTGTATGGGCAAAAACGCCATTCTTGATTTTGGTCTATTCTAAATGAATCCATGATTTAATATTGTGAGAATTACGTTATGTTGACAAATAGTTGTTTCTCAAACTCCCAGGAAAACTAAACTGCATTGTACCAAGCCCCGTGCCCACCGTATGTTAATAAAATTAGTACATACATTGTTTTTTGCAAATCTCCGCTTATTTTTAACATCTGTTGGGAATAAACACGTTATAATTCGGCTAAGATCGTAACCCGAGTAAGTTTTGATAAAAAGAAAATTCAGATTTAGTAAATTGAATGTTTAAGTAGACGATATTTTGTTGATCGGGCATCGAGAGTCGGCTGGATGGAAAATAATACAGATCCCGCGTTGACATAAACTAGAAAATACGAGTCCCGAGGAATTAATAATTCAAGTAAAAATAGTGAATTCTAATGTTTTTATATTTGAATATTAACGATGATAAGACAAGTTTGATGAAAATTCCACAAAATTTTTTGATAAAAATTTTCGAACCCCACTTATGCAGTTTAGGTTTTTATTGTAACGTGGTGATCTGCGAAAAAGAAGGCATTCAAGTTTTTGTTTACCTCGGCAATTTGCGGGAAAAGATTCTGAAAATAATCAGTATCACACGAAAACTCAGATTATTTGTATTATTATAAAACCTCGCTTCCTGACATAAATGTGACCACCATAATCCAGCTGGAGGTCTCATTGCTTCCTAAGTCCGCTTACTTCTCTTCTTTTCAATCAACTTAGCGAATTTTTCTTTATGGTTAACTTTTGATACTTTCCATTTGTTATTAACTTAATCCTGAAATAGGCAAACTAAAAAAATAGCTCAAAGAATTTGTTAGGGTTGGGATTAAATTTAGTTTTGACACGAAGCTTATTGTTTTTCACTTTTGCAACACTGTAAATATGGTTCATGAAATGTAACTTTACATCATACTTACATGGCCCGCCAGTCCAGATGGGCAAATTATTTGGCCCCAGGTCCAAAAACCTTGCACATTTCTGAAATCACTTACTTCATATCTATTTATTCAGATGATGACGTCGCACCCGAGTTTAACTTTGATTTCTGAAGAAATTAGAAAGGATAAAATGGAAATATTATTTATTTTCTCATGCGGTTTGTTTACTTTTATCAATCATGACTCACAGGTAGGGCTGGGCATTTTTGAATACCTGATGATTCCAGACTCGAATCGAATACTTGGGGGATATATAATTGTATGCGATTTTATTTTATTGGTCATATCAACAAATGAATTACTGAAAACATAGAATACATCACTCAGACAGATTGCTGAGCGTTCACACATGATAGGAAACACGTTTTTATCAATTGTAATGTCAGAATTGAAAAAATATGGCTTCAATAAAAAAAAAATTGGCGAATTTACCTCGACCATTGGCGGAAAGAAAAAAAAACAAGATGGCCGCGATTCTAAATTTTGCTCTGAACCGATTCGAATAGTTTACTATTTAATTCTAAATGCCCAACTCCCAGGTGACCCTATATCGCCCTAAAATATACTCCCACCATTTCTGCGTTTTGTTTTTAAAATTGTTTTTATGGGCGTAAAGGGATACCACTCGCTGGTTCCATGAGTTGTAAGCAATGATTGCACTTGTTTTGGATCTTTGAGAGTTCTTAAGATTCCTCTGCTGGGCAATTGCTAAAACTGTACAATTTGTAATCTCTTTCATTTATTGTTATTAGTTGCATTGTGAATTTAACTTATGATTTATTTTGCGTACTAGCTATAGGGCAGCTTATGCGGAGTATGCCATTTAAATGGTAGTTGGGAGTCGTAAATAATGCCTTTTCTCATATTTGATTGTATACATTTTTCCAGGTTTTCTCCATTTTTTTTTTGTCAATTTATATTTGTGTCAGTTTTACAATTTTTTTGGTTAAATTTTAGACTTAATTTTAGTCTTTAAAACTTAATTTTTAATAATGTGTATTAATATTCCCATTCTATCGAAGAAACGTTACGTTTCGTTATTGCTTACTCAACCTCAAAATGTGGAATGCAATTAAAACTTCGAATGAGGCATTGTATAAGAAAGCTCACACAAATAAGGAGATATGTTTTTATGTATCGAATCTATCTGGCGCTCCATAATCTGCCGACATGTCACGTACAACAATTTCAATGTCGCCACAGGCTAGTTTTTTTTTTTTTTATCTATTTTAGTAAAATATTCGCGACCAGAATATTTAAAAAAAAGGAACATACAACGTATAAAAAACGTGAAAATCACCAAGAACCATGCATAACTACCAAAAACTTGCAAAAAAATGAAAACCCACCAAAAACGCGGAAACACATTTTTACGAGAAAGGAAAAAAACAAAGTCATCAAGGTTCTCCTCATGAGTACACGCCCTGTGAATCCAAGATATCCAAATTTAACGTCACAGATAAATACTTTTGACTTCTATCAATGCATGCGATGTATCTAAGAGCTTAACTCGGCCATAACTTAGAAATAAAAAAATAATGTTTCTGTAATGGACCGTGAAGCCATAACATGTGTTGAGTTATCTCCCTCCTACATGATACTTTATAAACTTTACCGAATCTATCAATCCATATGTTTAATTACCTGATTATCGATCAAACTCGTTCTATGATAAATTTTATTTTTATTGTTTATATTATCATTATTATATATTTACGTTTTTCATCAATATATGTATTCCTGTAAATGCTCCTTCATTGCGTATGTCAATTATTCCCTCAATACGAGGTTGCGTACAGGCAATCACAAAACATTTGTTTACAAATTATATCTTGAGTTTAATCTGTTACCCATTATCTTTATCAAGTTCTTGATACAGACATGTCATGATAACTGGGCTGAGACTTATCTATTTATCGAATCGAGTTTCGAAAGTGACTTGAATACAGTTAATTAAGACTCCACTTTATTCGGGATATAAAAATGATTTAACCCGTGGTTCGCAACACTTTTGCTCGGAATAAAAATTCCGCCTCCGTTTGGGATATCCTGATTTAACTAAAGACGGGAATCGCACAATAATTTGCGGGATCTCACTTGATGTGTGCCATTCGGATTTTGTCCAACGGATAAAAATACAAATAAATTAAAAAAAATTTACGCTTTAAAGCCCCTTTTCCAGTATATGGATAATTTGTAATTTATAAGACAGAAAGTGACCATCCATAAAAAATGGCTCTCAAAATACCGTTTTATAGTATTTTTCGTGGAATGAATTAAAACTAACGAATAAGGGCTGATAAAATACTCTCATTGGGCATCTTGCTGGAGCAAGATGTGACGGTTCATTGAAATATTCATTTTTATTATGCCTCATTTAGATTACGATAGAACTCATTGAATATTATTTGCTAATTTGTCCTCATTTCATTGTGAATTAAACCGAGAAATAGATTTAATCCTCACTTTGTATTTCTTAGTTTATGGGAAAGTTAGTCAAGGTAAAGTGCATCGTGTTCATTACAAGAACAGAGATATTGGTAACAATTCTACCAAACTTGCAGCCATCTTAAATCATGAGCAAGTTAATCGTGGCAATCAGGATCGGTACGCAGGAGCAGTATCGTCATAAGGTTTATTCAAGGTGCGATTGTTGCCACTGCTATTTGCATATTTATCTTGGGTGAGAGGAAAGTTGATACGACAGCTTAATCATAAAGCAAACCGCTTTCTCTCTTCTGATTACCAATCCATGCGGGTGCGGGATTAGTTACCAAGTTATTTGTTTCGAATACATTTATGGTGGAGGATGACGTAACTGATCAGCGGTTACGACCGTTACGTGAACCACCCTACGGCAGCAAGAGGTCAAGCAATTCTCTTACACATGATTATCTCCCACGGGATTCAAACATGCGAACTCACGCAGGGTAATCAGGGCATGTGGTGGCGAGCCTATTTCTAACGCTTAGCATGATGCAGCATGCCGCCGAGCCATTCGAATTTGTTACCATTTTGAAAACACGGAGGGATACGGAGTCTAGGCTTGCACGTAATTTACGGATTTATTTCGAGTTACGGAAGCGAAGTTACGAATTACGTAAAGTCGTAATTATTGGTCGAGCGCTTTCGCGATTGAAACGAGCTCTCTTGAGAGCAGTCAAGTCCGTCAATTGTAAAAAATTAATGTTTAAGTAAAAGAAGTTAGAGTTCCGGTATTTGCAGCCGTTTTTCTCTCTCTTGTTAGGCAGATGGGGAAGGGATAACGCGTCATTTACTAACCTATTATCAACTTATCTAGGATGGCCAATGTACATACTAACCGTAGATAAGGAATAGAATTGTGTTGAGACCGATGGACGTCAACACACCTGGTTTCAACTTCTTCGGGTGAAATGACTAAAGAATGTATAAGAGATCAACTTATATAAAAACATGGTCTATTTGTAAATGCCGTGATAATTAATTAATGTCGCGCTTATCAAGCAGCAATATAAAGACGGAAGAGAAATTGTGTAATGAACCAACGCAACTTAGTCTTTTCGGCATCGGTAAAGCGATTGAGACGGCAGAGAAACAACAATACGACGGGATTTCCCGTGTTTATTCTGCGCGAGATCCTTTTTCTATTACAAAATCTTGATGTTCTGTTACCGATTTTATCGTTATATATCTGTCCGGACTTGGCATTGCTCAATATGTTTTTCACAATGCCTCGCAATATGTCGGCCAAATATGCTTACCTGTCTTTACCAAATGCGGCAACTTATTTTGATTTATCGTCGACTCGAATACCACCGGCACTCGACCAAACTTGTGTCAATCTTGGCAAATTGGATTGTCGACTTGAGTTAGAAAAATAAATTAATATTTCCATGAGTGCAAAATAAATGTCACAAAATGCATTGTTTTGCGATATAACTTTGTATTTTCGGATAAGGCATGTCATATAAGTACGGTATTTTAAATAATGCGCAAATAATTAATATTTGATCTAAATTTATCGCAAATAATGTTATAACTTTAGGCCGCGAAATGATTTAATGTAAAATGAAGCATGGAATTCGGAATATCGTCAATAAGTCGGCATCAATAATTATTATAAAATGCTAACTAAGTAGTAAAGTCGGATATTGTAAAAAAGCGGTGAAATAACAAGTCTTCGTCGCGAGGCAAGCGAAAGTATAATCAAACGAGAGAATACGCTTGTAGTTGATTAATAAATTAGCAACCTGGAATTTTTATTTAATACGAAAGTCGTATTAATACGTTAATACGATTTTAAAAAAGTGAACTATCGTTTCTTAAATATATTACCAGTGTTGGTAATGATAAAATTGATCGCATAAAATTTGGTGAAAAAGTGGATAAAAAAATCAAAGCTAATACAAAAGACAAAAATCAGAATAAAATTATTTTGAATTCACTCCTTGATATTTGTCTTTAACATCTGTCGCCGGCGTGTAGTACTGCCGGGAATTTGAAAACCAAACTTCAATGTCCCATTCGGAATAGATGCGGATTCAATTTGTTGTTATGATAGGTTTAAATGTGTGAAACAAATATATCAATTACGGGGTCATTACGTAATCGATTTGGCCGTAATTACGGAATTGATTTTTGTCAATTACGTACAAGCCTAGGAGTCTAACTACGAATAACAATCTTAGCGTTAGGATTCAATAAATCGGGAGTAGTTCAGCAGCCGCTTCAAGTTTGAGAGCTATTTTGGAAAAAACAGGGTCTTCCCGTTTTGTATTTCTTACACAATATGTCGCCCCTTGGTTAAAAGGTAAGCATGGGATTTGAACCCGACGTTTTACCTCCCCGTGCCAACATAGTCAAGATTAATACTTAGCAACTAAGCCACCTCGCTCAAACTTTTCCGTTGCAATCTCCAATCAAATTTCGGCACTCGGCATAAACCTTTCGCTATTGCAACGGTACGACTTAACCGGAATACCGGTAGGTGCTCGCCACTGATACAGTCTAGTAATACTGAAATAATTAGTTCAGAAGATCCAATGTGCTACAAAGACACACAAATAGGTTCGAAGTTCA